AAACATTTTCTCCGACTCACAGGTTTTGGCATTAACATCTGTCCAACAAGAGAAGTAACTCTATCCAGTGGAAACATTACTTCACAGAACTATCCCAATTATTATTATAATAACATAAATTGTACTTTCACCATACGAGCACCATCTGGTTTTTCCTTTAACTTTACGTTTACCAAACTTGATCTTGAAGTTAAATCGAGCGGTAAGAAACGATACAGGAAAATTTTCATATTTCTTAAAACTTTTATGTATTTCTTAAATTATATGTTGTTGCAGTAAAGGAATTAACATGCAGCTTATGTTGAAATTTAGGGACTTTGCCATGGTGACATCTCTAAAAATTGTTTTAAGCTTAGCAACTGCCATGGTGGATGGCAAAAAATAACCTAATTTTTTTAAAGATGACTGTTTTTAAATTTTATAACTGTTTTGACACTATACATTTTGGCATACTAGCCATCAGGACGATATATGCAATGACAAAAAAAGTTAACGGCATCTCCAAATTGAGAGATGACGCTTAAAAAAGAGATAAATACATAATCCTTTTGTCGGTAGAGCAGGATTAGAAAATTTAATTACTACAGACTCCGTGACGTGCTACTGAAATAACGAGAGACGTTTTTAATGACTCTAAAATTATATTCGGAATATGAATTTATCTTATCCCTAAAACCTTTTACAAGTTGTATCATACATAGCGAGCATCACACTCACATTTAAACTCGTAAACTACATTGTTTGACATTTGTGCAGGAAGAGATTCTTTGGGGATGCGTGGTACAATAGTTCTTTCAAAAATATAAAAACAATAATGCAAGCAAAAAACAAACACTCAGTAAGACTCTTATTTTCTTTCTCGATATCATTTTAAGCCTTCGCCATTCGGGGAAGTTTTAGAAACATAGAGTACTTGGAAGATTTTCGTGCAATTTTGAGTGGGTTTTTCAAAGACTCGTTAACTGACAATTTCGCTTTCCTTGGAGCATGTTTTTCCCAAAATGCACTCAAAACCATATTATTACCTATACAAATTTTGAAAACATTTCACAAATGATACCATGGCAAAAATGCAAATAATCTTCTTTTAATTGATAAACGTTAACTTAAAGGTGATTTTAGGACTCGAAAACTAGTTATAATCTATCCATGCTTATTTAGGTGGGTGCTACGATTATGTTAAAATATCAGGAATTTTTTGGAAAGATTTTTGTAACGAAAGCACACCTTTCAACTTCTCCCCTGGTGGCAATGTCGTTACTGTTCAAATGTATTCAGATTCCATTGTTAGAAAGAGTGGATTTCGTCTCCAATTTGTGAGGTATTTTTCAGGTACAACACCAACACCTGCGCCAATAAATACAGGTATGACTGCAATATTAACATTATTAGATCAAAACAAAGAGTTGTGCAACGCGAAATATTGTTTAATAAAATAATTTTCAGGAAAAATTTTATTTTCCAGTGACTGACCACATTAAGTCAATACATCCAACCATGTAAAAATCTAAATATATTATTGCATAAAATTCTTTATTATGTATTGAGTCCAGACTTATATGATAAATATGGTCAAACCAATTTGCTTTTGGCTTTTTTGAAAACTATCTGTTGGCTTTTAATCTTTATGTTGATAAATCATTGCAATAAACTGCACACTTGCTTTAATGGAAATCATAGATAACATGATAGTGATATTTTTTGGCAAAGTAGCTAGAGCATAATAATCCATCCAAAATCGTAAAAGATCTTGTTATTAAGTTTGCATAGATTAATAGTTAGCTTTGCTGCATGTTTTTGCTTGAATATTAAATATTTAGGACGAACCAAGCCATTACAAAAACAGATTTTTTTAAATTGTTATTAGCGTCTTCACAGTTAAAATTTAAATTTCATTTAGCTTCAAACGAAAACGAATCATATTCAACAAGAAACATTGCAATTATATCGGGAGCAAGTGGTGCTCTTGTTCTTCTACTTATTATTGGTTTGGTTATCATTTATTACGTACGTCAGAAGAACGGACAAAGAAGCTCAACCAGTTCCATCAATCAAGAAAATACTATGACAGGCATAACGCCAACTAGTTACGAAAGCGTTTGTAACACATCGCCATTCTACATCAACGCTACTCCTGGTTTTACCAATAATCATGGTGTTATTCCTCACTTGGAACCAGCAGCAAACTTAGGGCAAAACGTATATACGGTACCGATGACAGCAATCACCTCTTGTGACAATTCCAATGCAAATCCAAATCCTGGAGAGATTGCGCGTAATGCGCCTACTATTGCACAAGTTGAAATTGTTGGCGCAAGAGGAAACGAGTCCAATGCAACAATAGTCGGTCAAGGGCAAAAGTGATGTTGATTTTATTATGAATTTTGATGAAAGTATAAATAAAAGACTTTTATCATTGTTTGTAGTACAAGCCTTGTGTTTGTAAAAACACTTATGTAATGTATGTTAAATAACTGAATTTTACTTATATATCAAACACTGTTATTCTGATAAAATGTCCTCTATAGAATGGAGAAAAATATCGTTTGACAGGCTCTGCACAGATAAATACAATTTTATTTATTAGTTTTTGCTACAGAAACTGCATGTGAATGTAGGCAAAGCTTTTGTATTATCAAGAAATAATTTAATAACTATTGAATAAGCACAAACCAGCTGTTGAAACTTTAAAAACCACAATTACATAAATGCATACGTGTGAAGCAACTAGTCATTTTTGTTGTGATGAAATAATTAATGTCCTCAATGCTTGTTAACTTTTAAAATTGAAACAATTTGCATTTCCAATATACTTTGTAATTTTAATTGGAAAAAATATTTCAGAAAGTATTTACCTAGCTAATATAAATGAGCTTTCCAATTGAGTAAAAAACCAACAACAGTTAATGAGCAATAGTTTCGCCATTTAGATCTATTTATGTCGCGTATATTTTTCTTTATTGTATTTTGAACCAATCAGAAACTCTAATTATTTAGGACAACAATAATTTGTTTACTCACTATCTGATAGATAGTTGTCGAATGAGGATGTCAAGCTGTAGAAGTCCAGAATTCTCTATTTCGATCAGAAAATTGAGTAAGCTGTTGGTGGCAAGGTTAAGGCAGATCATACAGACTCAGCGTATATTATTGATACAGATTTGCTACAAGAAATTATTCCATGGCTTTTAATTCATGGAAGAGAACTTGTGTTGACGCTAAAAGAAGGTATAAATTGTATAGAGCCAAGAGCACTTGTTTTGTTTAGGCTCCCAAGCTTGTTTTTGTTGCCCTCACTTTGCAGGCAGATTGATCCCAAGTGAGGGTAACGAGAAGAAGCTTGGGAAGCCATAAGGGTTTAAATGTCTGGTGTTTTTTTGATAGGAAAGATCTTTCGATCTGAAATGATCGCGTTAAAAGAAGAAAGCCGATTAAAACTTAGTAATATTGAACAGTCGTATTACTATATCAGCTATTGTACGTGATCTTGTATAAGCTTCTAACACTGACGTAAATAAAGCAAGGGGTTATTATATAGAATATTGATGATTGATAAACCGTTCTTAATATCTTAACATGAAATTTTTGATATTTAGCAGTAATACTTAAATTACAATTGTGAAGATGTCGTGGTAAGTTGTAGTTGAATGGGAGAAATAAAATGATTTGATAAAAGCAGGTATTTCTAGAGTAATTACCTTATGGTTCATAGTTAAATACATAGGTCAACACTTTGAATAAAATATTCTTGTTGGATGATAAAGAATCTACGTAGTCTGCATGCTGCATGTATATTAGAAATAGTTACTTAACAAAAACAACGAGCTTAGACATTAAGTTTTTGTTTAAAAAAACTGTGATTGATTATAAGTAAACGCATGCTTTCTGGAATATTAGTGATTAAATGTCCCGCAAACCGAGGGAGGTTTAGTAAAACTCTCGAGGCTTAAGAGAACATTTAATCACTAATAACCATGCGTTTACTTTGAAATAACATGGCTCCGAAGGGAATAATCAATGCATTGACAAAAATTGTATCTCATTTTGAGGTCACTTTTTTGAATATTGACAATCATCAATGGTGTTTGAAGCGGACATTGTTCATGGTCAGGGATGGATAAACAAATTCATTTAGCTGTTTAATTGTGAATTCTGTTTTTGAATTGGTTGAGTGAACCCATTGCTTTGCAAAAACATATGCTGTTATTTATTTATTGTTTAAGTTATTGATCGTTAATCACTGGTTTTCCCAAGTTAGCTAGTAACAAGAAAGTTTCAGACGTGAGGAAAGACGATTTCTCTTAGTCTTACCACTCAACGAACAAACTGCGAAGCACTTTGACCGTTGCATTTTACATGCGCCGAATGCATTAAAGACAAAAGAAAATGAGATAAAAATTCCATTATCTTTTGTTTTGAATTCATTTGACTCATGCAAAATGCGACGTTTGAAACGGGTCTAAGGCTTGTAATAACGCAAGTTTAGCGACTTTGAGCGAAAGGACAGAATTACTCGTGTTTGACTCCGAAGAAGTAACGATGTAACAACAGTCGAGCATGAGGACTTTTGACTCAGTTTACTTGCCCACGAAGTATTGTGGTTTCAAAGGCCTTGCTGAACACATCGTGCTATTATTCTTTTGCATTTAGCGGAATTGAAAATGATTTATCCGTGGAAAAGTGAAGATGCAAGCTGAATCACCGATGACCGATAACACATTTTTTATGCGACACTCTGGCTAATGTTACAAGTGCAAATTAAAAGACAAAAAAATGAAATTTTCTATTATGCGTTTTGATTGCAAAGTTTATGATTATGAATTGAACAAAAGACCATTATTTATTGAATCAACATCTATTGTTTAACGTGTAGAATGAATTATTCGAATCCTACATAAAAACGCCCCCAATACCCCTTCGCTGCGGTCCTACCCTTTTCTTCTTGAAATGCAGATGTTCCGGTGTTTATTCAATTGTTAACTTGACCTTTTCACCTGTGAGACATGAAACAGGAACATGGTGAAAGCTAGCAACAGAATTCATCATACACAGCTTTGCGACCGACGTGATGCATTCGGAATGTTTTTAAAACCATCAATCTAACATCATAAGTTTCGGTAAGGTAAGTATGTTTGGACTGAGTTTGTTAAATAAGCTTTGACTGAGTAATTTACATTAATCAAATAAACAAGACAAGTCTCATAATTTTACCGTGACCACCGATTGTCGGCAGCGAAATACTCGTCTTTCATTGTGCTAAATAAGTAGCGAGTTAAATGAATACACAAGCAACCTGTTGGCTACGTGTAATGTTCAGTTACTGAAGCTAGCGAAGGCAAACCGTAGTTTAAATTTCGGATTATTGATGAATTGTATCTGTGAATGTCGCAAGCTTACGTATGTATAAAAGGGAAGTTAGAAGCACATTCAATGCACCACATTCATCGCCAATCACCACGTTCAACTAAATGTTTTTGTGGTAATGGTGGTAATAGTCTGTAGTAAACTAAATGAAAACAACTGCCGATAATTGTGCAATAAAGTTTGATGTTTTCTAAAATTTAGCAGCGGCACAGAATAGATATATACAGAAGCGCCACTCGATGTCGGAACCTTTGATGTTCGTGTCCGCAGCATCCGGGGAACTTTACACGGCAGCCATGTTTCCAGCCAGATAAATGCAGCCAGATCGCAATATAATATATAGTTCTACGGATGGGTTTTGGCAAATAAACCCAAATATTTCTATAGATTGGTCATTTTTTTAATATTTTTTTGTGTGGATACAGTTAACACATCAAGCTCTCAACAATTTATCATTAATTCGACGTCCGTTTTGATAAATGAGGGTTTATTCGGAATATTTACAAAGTAGATATGTATCTGACGAGATGCGTACTCGGTATATGGTTTGTCGTCAGTTTTAATTTTATCATATAAGAATTCTGCAGAGAATCTTGAAGACATTTGTTCTAACATTTGAAATCTCGGTCGTGGCTGAAACAAGTGACAAATCAAATTATCCTCCAGTTAGTTTATATATTTCAAACAACGTTTGGCAGGACATTCGAATCACCAAAATTGTCTACCCAGGTGTTTTAAACTATCAGAAGCGATGCTGCATGGCCACTATGAAAGTCATCTGATGCCAAAATATTTTGTATTCATCACAGTTGTGACTTGTGAAGCTTGAATGACTTTTTGAGCAAGTTGGAACATAAGCAGCAGCATGTTGGCCTCCACCAATAAAGTGCTTGAATAGCAATTTGTAAAACATATACTGTCATATGGTCCACATGACTTAACTTTGTTATTTCTGCCTTTTTAAACTCAATCAGGAGATTATTTATATATTTGACATGGATGCTTATTGATGATGTGAGAAGTGAACATAAAAAAGCTTCCTGAATGCTTTTGTGAATTGGATTGGTGTTGGCTTGGCACAGTTTCCCCCTGTCAAATGTTTTAAAAAAGTTTTCTGGTGTATCTGTGTTTCACCTTTTGGTAAACATTTTACTGTGTAAAGTATTACGATTGCATTAAGAGTAACTATAACTGGTTTTTGTCAGAATAAGTTCTGTTTGTGACATGATTACTTACAATAAAAATTTTAATTTACTGAATGAAGTTTATGGATTTTAGCAAAAATTAAATTTTCGAGCCCTTTGTTGCAATACTTTCTCTCTGCTGGTTGATCAATGCGGTGAATCAAACATAATTCTAATCATTTTTCACATGCAATTGTTGGTCACAACTCACAAGTGAAGTTTAACCAAAGAGGTAAGCTGTAGGAGCTTGACAATATGTTTGACATAATGGTAAAGTTGTTAATTTAATTGTAACAATTTATCAATAACTTCATTCTTTAAAAAAATTGTAATTTCATATATTGTTTATTAAAAATAAGACAACAAAAAACATCTTTATTTGTAAGTTAATACAAATTTGACAGACATGATAGCCACAGGAACTCAATATACAATTACAAATAAAAACAATCAATTACAATTATGCAGACAAGCTACATTGCAAATAAAAAAGCCCCGATTCAAGAATCAAATATAAATTAGTTTAGTCCAAATTTTATACTAATAACGTCTTCATCTGAAGAACGTTCTTTACGCACAGTAGGTCTTTTATCGCTTCTATCAAATCCGTTGACCATTCTAATAGGAAACTCTTTACTAGAAAATACAGAAATGGAATCACACTAAATATATTTATTACTTTTGTCCTAAATTATAAATTCTTAGGGCAACTGCCGTTCAATATAAGAGACGTTCTAAACATGGATCTCGCATACAATTCAAGGCAAGAAACTATAAAACCCGTAAAATTATATTTGAAGAACGTATTTTACAACAAAACTGTTTCTCACCTCATATGCTTGGTATCCTATCCGATGGCATTAAAAATTTTGTCCATAAGTGAATTTAAATTCGTCAAATTTTCGAAAAACAACTCTTCATAATATTAATCTATATACATTCTGGCCAGTTTATCTGGCTGGAGTAATGGCGGACGCAAAAGATGCGCACTTAAGACTGGGTACAAGTAGGGGACAGATTTTTCGCTGAGTGGCGCTTCTGTATATATCTATTCTGTGGCAGCGGCATGGGAAAGGATATGAACGGAAGTCAAACTTAGTGTCGGAGCCTTTGAAGTCAGTTTTCTCGCGCATGATGTCTCATTGCGTATGCTAGAAATGTGACGGCCTCCATCACTCTGGCAAGTACTCTGTGTATAATTGTATTGTGCGAGAACATTATTTCACACATTGGGGAGGTTTACTTTTGAAATCTGCGTTCAAGTTATCAGAACATCAAAATACAATATAAATACTGCCAATTTGTCTATTTTGTAATCAAATCACTTTAAATTGCATCAAAATTGTGCCTTACTTTTAAAATTCAATTATTGCGCAAGATTCCCACGATTGATGAAAGACAATGTTTAAAAGCGTGATTTCCTTACACAAATATTCCATTGTACTTAATATAGTTAGTAGCCAGCAACTGCTGTACTTGCCAGAGTAATACGACGGATCTGACGTATACGCATAAAAAATCTGGGCCACATTGCACCTCTTAGTTGGCCCCCTGTTCATTTCCTATTCCGTGGCAGCGTGCGGAATCCTAGCCTTTCCTGCAATTTGATTAGCTTTAGAAGCCGGCGGAATTTTACGATGTATGACCGCAGTTCGAAACTGGAATCCTATACTAAAGCTAAATACTTGATCAAAGATTTGTTTTGTTTTGTTTTGTTTGTTTTGTTTTTAACAGGAAATTATCAGCTATCGTTTGATTGTGCGTTATATTCTATTTCAAGTGAATTTTGAGTTTTTCAAATTAAAATGAATAGCAAAGTTTTGATTCTTTACTTGGCCGCTATTGTTGAACCAATCTACACAATTTAATAAGACTGTTGCCATGGCAAAAACGTCCCACTTCGGGAAAATGTTTTTCTATGCAGACCTCCCAGCTGGTGAATAACAATTATTAATTTGCATTAACATATAATATGTAATTATATAACTTAAAATAACTTAACGGGTTTCATTGAAACAATCACATATGCATGTTAACAGTCTTAGCTAAATAATGAGAATAGAATGAAAGACAAAAAACGTCCAACTTAGACACGTTGCGAGGTGTACTCAATTTTTTTAAAAATTTTGTTACAAGGCACAACAGAGCTCAAACTTTCACCTCTTGGAATTATATTGGAGATCAAACCTTTTATTTTCTTTGCACACGCGGTTAAATTTGAGGCTTTTACAAACTGCTCATCCGGTTTCGAGATTAATTTTTCTGATTGTTTTACTTTTAGATAAACTAGACGATGCAAAAAATACATAGATGTTGACATTTTTTGACAAGTTTTGTTGAAATGAGAGTTTTTAGTTAAAATTTCCAAAATTTTTTTATAGCTACTTATGTGAAATTGCATTCCCGTGAATTTCGTTTAGCTATTTGGCAACTATTATAAAGGCCCGTTTAAACGATCCAACAATGTTGGACCAACATCGTACAACAATGTTGGATCAACAAAGTTGGATCGTTTAAACACCATGTTGGACGATGTTGGAAAATGTTGGACGATGTTGGATGGCTTTTGAATTCTATCAAAAACGTCCAACATTGTTGGACTGGGGCATGCGCGTTATGAATATGTTCACATTCATAATTCATGTATGCATGATTGTCTGCGAATTACCATCTACTTCGATATAATTATGGAGGAGATTGAGGATTATAATTTCGATGCAGAGCAATCAGAAGAAAACAATATTAGTTCTAAAACAAAAGCACGGAAAGAAAGCTGTAGGACTACAAATAATACAAAGCGAAAGGACCGCCAAAAATGGCCAAAATGGAGCGAATCTGACATCCAACAATTAATAGATATGCTTGAGGAACGAGCTTGTCTTTGGGACGTATTCTGTGAAGACTATCACAAAAGAGACATCAAAGATAAAGCCTACAAAGAAATTGCAGAAGCACTAGAACGTGAAATTGCTGATATCAAGAATACAATTGTGTGTCTCAGAGCTCAACTTGGAAGAGAACTAGGAAAAACTAAGAAAACAAAGTCTGGACAAGGACTTTCTGAAACCTATAAATCTTCATGGATTTACTGGGACAGGTTGCAGTTCTTAATTCCAATAATGCAAGCTGGGAAAAGCAGAGATAATATGCCACGACAAACTTCAACTCCAGATTCTGTGTTTTCAACTGATGGAGATAGTAGTTTTGAGGGAAGTCTCAGTGAATTTCAAGGGTGTGAAACCCCTGTTACACCTGGAGCTTGTGCATCAATTTCATCTTCCGGGCCATCAAAAAAATCTTCAAGAGCTACAAGTGAGGCAAAAAAGGTTGAGATCCTAGAAACTTGTGTTAAAATTTTAAAGGAGCCAGTTGTGCCACAAACAGATCAAAAGAAATGCTACTTTGCTATGTATATTTCAGAGAAGTTGGACAAATTTGACAGCAGGACTAGGATGATAGCAGAAAAGAAAATAAATGACATAATTTTTGAACTTGAAATGCAGTCAAGTGCGCAATCTTTCCTGCCTATAATCCATCATCAGGATAGAGACATTGGTGTTCCAATGAACCAAGGATCATTTATGGGAATGTTTAATACTAATTCACAATGTTGAAATATTATTTGTATGATCTCGACTACATTAAATGAACAGAACGAACTGCAAAATATTTGTTATTCATGTTTATACCTATTTTATAAAATTCATCTTATTATTGGCTATTGGGTAAAAAATGTCAACATATGCAAAATTAAAATTGAAAAAAAAATGAAACCCATCAAAAATACTGAAACTAATTGCTTTTTTCTAGAGTTCGGATATCTGAAAGAGATCAAAAAACAAATTTAGACTGCAATTTAAGTGACAGCATCAAATAGAAGATTTTTAGGTAGAAACATCAATTTGTTTACTTAGGGAAGAAATTGAATAAAAAACTTGTCTTAGAGAAAGAATAGAATAAGGCATGTACCAAAGCTTTTAGAACGCAACAATATTCAATTTATGTTCTTCACCATGACTTGTAAAATAAATTCATAAATGGCAATTTTCCAATGTGCTTTTATGTAAAAAGCTTTGTAAAACTTACTTTTCATTTAAGGCTAGGATCTTAAACAATTAAATTGTACCAAAAAGCTTTACTAGTTTACTACAATGAAATTGCACCAAAAAGCTTTACTACTATGGATAGTTTGAGCTACTATATTGTCAGTTACCGTTCTATGTCAACATTTTCATAGTTCACAAGATGGTAAATGGTTAACTTTTAAATTAAATTCCACTGCCATTCGACTGCTCCTTCATTGCAGAAATATTCCTTGAAGTTATCTCTAATGTTCTTTGCTTCGGTTGTAGCATTGTGACCTGTTGGTGGTACAGATAATGGAAGAAATGACTCAGAATGGTTGTCATTGCGCCACTGACCAGGAATCAGTTCTCCCTCACTTGTTTCATTATCTGTAATTCCTACAGGACAGTAAATACTGTAGGATGTACTCTTTCTGAGGTAGTTGTGCAATATTATTGCAGCTAAAACCAGATCTTCAATGGCTCTAGGTGAAAGCAAAAGTACAGACCTGAAAACACGCCATCTGTTGGCTATAATTCCAAAAAGATTCTCTGACACTCTTTGTGCACGACTGTGTCTGTAGTTGTAAATTCTCTTGTCATCTGTAAGGCCGTGTTGGGGGTAAGGTTTCATCATGTGTTTTTGCAATGCAAAAGCATCATCACCAACAAATACATGAGGCACTTCAACCATCCCTAAAGGTAACAACTTTGGTGGAGGAAGAGACACTGCACCATCTTCTATTGCCTTGGAAAGTCCACACTTTTTCCAGACTCCACCATCCGAAACTCTTCCATTTGTTCCAACATCAGCATAGATGCATTCATAATCAGGTCCAGCTATAGCCATGAGTACAATGGAATGAGTATGCTTATAGTTGTAGTAATAGGAGCCCACATTCGCAGGTGGCTGCATCACAATGTGCTTCCCATCTATAGCTCCAATACAATTTGGATAGTTCCACCTTTCTTCAAACTTAGAAGCTATTTCAAGCCATTGCTCATTGGTTGAGGGAACTTTGAAAAATTTTGGTCCAAGATGCTTAATTATGGCCTTGCAAACTTCTTTAATAATGTATGAAATTGCAGCCACACATACTCTGAACTGGAAGCTCATACTTCGGAATGTTTCACCTGTGGCCAGGAATCTTAAAGTTAATGTTAATCTTTCTGCGGGGGAAATTACTCTTTGCCCTCCGTTGATTCTCTGTGGAGTAATGAGCGATGCAATCTCTTGAAGTATGTATTTAAAATCTTTATATGACATTCGCATCATTTCGCAATACGACGCAGTGTCTTCCATCATCAATTCTCTAACGATAGTATTAAAGTAACCCATCTCTCCGCGTCTTTTTATCCATCGACGAGTTTTTCCACGAGTGGGCTTCTTTTCTTGCTCGTCAAGACTGATGAATATAGCAAAAGCTGCAGCAAGTTTTCGCTTTTTAAATGCGTCGACCATGTTGATGTAATTAATTGTCATTGACATAAAACCAGTGAACTATAGTTGACAGTTCACTGCATAAAACTACTCATGTATCCCACAATTCATTTGTAGTTAAATGCTGGTCCAACATTGTTGGATCCGTACGTGGATCGTTTAAACACAACCGTCCAACATTATCCAATGTGCATCCAACAATGTTGTACGATGTTGGTCCAACATTGTTGGATCGTTTAAACGGGCCTTAATACTCTGTTCTCAAGTAGCCCGAGTGAACGCCTGATTTCAGTTATGGAGGCTCCTACATTTACTACGCAGTGGACTGGCGACAATTTGTGCGCGCAAACTGTGCTCATGTCGAAGGGGATTTTTTTAAATAAATACCTAGCGGTGCTGACTTTATTGAAGGTTTTTTCGTTTTTCCTTCGTTAAAAGTTCGTGTGGATGCCTATGGAAGTTCATGTTGCCGAAATTTTCAAATATGTCAAAAAATTATTTATAAAATTCCTTCAATGTTAAACGCAATGCTTCTTTAATGAATAACAATCGTCACGCAAAAAAAAACAGAAATATTCACCGAACCGAAAAAAAAATACGGTCAATTCCTTAAAAACTAGACGATAAAAGTGTAAAAAAAATGAGATATGGTTGCCAACGCTAAAATTTATCCTGTTCAAGCATCTCTAGACTTTACTAGCAGTCTTGAATATTTCTGTATAGTTCATGTTTCCAATGTGTGAGTGTGTTTGATAAAAATAATGTTGTAAGTGAAGGCTACTTGAAACACCCGAATCTCGGTTGAACTGTAGGGAGCCTACTTAAGCTGAGATACACAGAGATAGATATAGTTGCCATACATCATTTATTATTAGAATTGAACTAGTATCCTCTTGCAAATGTTTTAATTTAATAAAAAAAAACTTTGCCGCCATCCCTGCCGTTTCTCATTTTACTTAGGTTTCTGACTACAAACTTCATTGTTTGCTTCAAAAGGCAATTCTAGTGAAGACTAAAGTTGCCACTAAACAACAACGTCGAGATATTTAAACGTTAAATAAGCAAAAATACTAGTAAAATAAGTAAACATCCTTTGAGCAAGAGTCGTTCGCTTTTCAAAATAAACAATGTCAACAACAGCAAATGCATAAAACAACAAATCAAGAAAAAATTGCTCTCGATTTCCATGATGCGATAGTTGATTCGGGCTTGGCTCTCGTCTACTTTTACCTCATAGAGATCTCTTGCTCGCAATCTAATTGTTAAACATTGAATGATTATGTGGATTGATAATGATGTCTGCACTCGGAAAACTCCCTACGGTTTTTAGGCAGTTGAAATGCGAGTCAGAATGTGACACTAAAAGTTTTAAAATGATAGTACTGTCAACCACATTGAAAAAATTGTCATCTTAGCTAATTAATGTTGTTTTATCGTAGCCAATGCAAACACAGTTCTAGTTTGTCTGTTTTGGTATTATCATGGTGTCGAAATGGTGGCGTTCACTTCTCTTTGTTCTTTTTATATCAAGTTTTCTAAAAAGTAAGTCAGTAGAAAATGTACATATGTTGTTATGAATGAAATTTGATCTCTTATTTTTCGTTCTTATGTCTTAAATGGGAAGAGGGTTAGGGGGATTGACGCTTGTTGCCCGGAAATAGAAGAATTTTCTCTGAAAATTTTTCCTCGAAATGAGGACACTTAAGAAATTTTGTTTGGGGGGCTCGGCCCCTTCAGCTTGTACGCATTTCCCAATCACATGATGTCTTTTTATACATTTTTCTCCGATTCGTAGGTTTTGGCATTAATATTTGTCCAACAAGAGAAATAACTCCATTCAGTGGTTACATTACATCTCCTAACTATCCCAATAAATATGACACTGACATAAATTTTAACTTAACGATACGAGCACCATCTGGTTTTTCTTTTCGCTTCACATTTACCAAACTTGATCTTGATTATCTTATGTATAAAGGTAAGAAACGATGCAGGGAAATTTTCATATTGTTAAAACGTTGATGAATTTCCTAAATTATATGTGGTTACAGTAAAGGAATTAAGAGATCATGTTGAAATTTGTTCAACTTCAAAAACAACCCAATAGCTCTTTTTTGTACGGATGTTTTTTATTTCTCCAATGTCTTTGTCAAAGGTATTTTTCATTTGCAGATTTGAAATATTTTACAAATGGCAGTTTATCAAAGCTTTATTTAGTAAAATATTTAAAAATCAATAATGATAGACAAAAATGAACATAGCTAATCTTTTTTTAATTTATGAAGTAGCTCACTCGGCATGATTTTAAGACACAAAAACCAGTTATAATCTATCCATGCTTATTTAGGCAAATGCTTCGATTATGTAAAAATATCAGGAATTTTGTCGAAAGAGTTTTGTAATGAAAATACACCATACATCTTCAACCCTGGTGGCAATGTCGTTACTATTCAAATGTATTCGGATTCCGTTGATGTATTTCGGTTACGTGATGGATTTCGTCTCCAATTTGTGTGGAATCTAGCAGGTACTGCATCCACATCTGTACACTTAGTAATAAATCTATAATTGCATTATTCACTTTATTAGAGCAAACAAAGAGTTATCTACCACTAAATATTGTTTAATAAAATAAATTGAAAGAAAAAAGTAGAGAGAGATCAACTTGACGTTTTTTATGATTTTGAAGCTTGTGCATAGGTTTTATGTTCCATATGACTCGTGGGCAGATAAATCACTGTAAAATTTCACACAAAATTACAATATTAGATTAAAGTGGCTAACGAGCATTAAATTCAGTAGACAATGTATATAGAATGTTATGAAAGAAAGTTGATTTTGATTCTTATTGATCGTTTTATAATTTTTTTAAACATTTTTCTCGGATTCATAGGTTTAGGCATTAACATCTGTCCAACGAGAGAAATAACTCTATCCAGTGGTTACATTACATCACCTAATTATCCCAATAAATATTACAATAACATAGATTGCACCTTAACGATACGAGCACCATCTGGTTTTTCCTTTCTATTCACGTTTACAAAACTTGATCTTGATGCTAAGTATAACGGTAAGAAACGATGCAGGGAAATTTTCATATTAGTAAAACGTTGATGAATTTCCTAAAATATATGTGGTTGCAGTAAAGAAGTCAAGATACCATGTTGAAAACTACGTGAATTCAAAAACAACCCGATAGTTTATTTTGTATGGATGTTTTTTATTTCTCCAACATTAATGTCTTCGCCTCAATGGTATTTTTCATTTAAAAATTTCGAAAACATTTTACAAATGAAAGTTTATCAAAGCTGTATTAAGTACAAATTATGTAAAAGTCAATAATGATAGGCAAAAATGAAAATAACCTTGAATAAAAACTCTAGCTTCATTTTAGGACACGAAAACCAGTTATAATTTATCTATGTTTATTTAGGTCAGTGCTACTACGATTATGTAAAAATATCAGGAGTTTTGTCGAGACGTTTTTGTAATAAAATTACACCTTTCGACTTCAACCCTGGTGGCAATGTCGTTACTGTTCAAATGTTTTTGTATTCCAGTTCCACAAGGGATGGAATTCGTCTTCAATTTGTGACATATCTTTCACGTTCTACACCCACAACTACACTCATATATAAAGGTATGATTGCATTATTCACTTGATTTGAACAACAAAGAGTTGCCTTTTACGAAATAATTTTACAAGAAAAATATACAGGGAGATTAACTTTGACGTTTTACGATTTTGTCGCTTACCCCGCCCCGCAAAGAATTTAGGGTCCACATGGCTCATGCGGAGATAGATCACAGTAATTTACTCATTAACTTTCACAAAAAATTCTACAAAATTAGATTAAAGCGTCTACAAGCATAAAAACAAAGCGACAAAGAACGACCATTGTCAGTATATCTGATGTTTCAATTTATACTTGATGTAAGCTTACTGTGTGGACATTTTTTGTTGAAACATTTAAAAAAATACATTTAAGATGTAGAAAATATTTTTTATTTTTCTATCTAGTCAACGCCCATGTTTTAAAAAAGGCTATTTTAATAAGATATGTACATATATAAATAGCCAGTGCTCTTTTGAATTTCATTTTGAATGTAAAAGCCCCAGTGAAAATTACTTCAAGTTGATATTTGTAAAAGCCCCAGTCTGTTTTATTGGGTGAAAAGTAGAATTCTATTCATAAAGTGCATTTAGAGAGTTTCTTCATTTCTTATGATTGTTTTGTTTCAAATTTTAGATGCGCAAGGATGTAGTTTTCAAAATGGACTGGGGACTACAGATTGTCCATGGAGGAATAATGACTTTGATGGCTATGCTTATGATGATTTTGACTGGACTGTAGACTCGGCTTTGACTAATCTTTACCAGGGTTGGTAACTTATATGCCATAAAACTCGATTTTGACTTTGATTTTTTGCGTTTGGCCTGCAAAAACGTGTTTGGGTTTTGCCTGTATTTTGGTTTTTTGATTTTAACTGCAACGTTTTCTCGATAGTGGAAATACACGCTATTTTTACGTCATTGTGATTTTTAATTAGTTGCAAGATGAAAAACTAGTTCGGTTGACATCCAATGCAATCAATGAGATTATTTTTGTTTTTTAATACAATACCTGAGGCAAGAAGTTGTTTGATTACATTATGATAAAAATGATTTGGCTCTTTTTTGGCTTTTTCCTGAAGTAATTCAAGTTGGCTTAATTTTGCTGAATTTGTCCTTTTTAAAACAGTCGTTTTTGGGGGGCATGCAAGAGAAATGTCGTTTCTATAAATAGCTCTTATTTTACAAATTGCGACATCTGACTTCATTTCTTCTGTGTCACATTAAAATAAATTAGTACTATTATAAATGGCTGATTAGTTCAACAATGACTTTATGTTTTGAGTACTTGGGCTTTGCGGTGTATTCTGACTATGTGAAAGGCAAAGTTTAACATATTATAAACGATTTGGATTCTTAGCGTTCTCGTACGGTTTGGCCAAATTTCACGAAACTCTCTCAGCGTGAATGACATGTGCCATATTTTAGTTCCGATTGCTTTTTAGCTTTATCATTTTCGTGCGCAAGCTATTTAAAAATGCTTCGTGGTAACACTTTTTCACTCTAAAATGATTGTTACTTGCCGAAATTTTCCTACCAGACAAAGCATTCGAAGTCTAAATATCTACCAAAATCTTTTACAGATCTTACGTGCTGATGTCTTTAGCAACGATTTGCTTACTGTTCATTTTTTTATAGATTCTGCATAACAAAATACGTTTTTATCAAACATCTTTCATGAGTTTAAAAAGCAAATCCGTAAAACAGTATTTAGTTCAGAAAGTTTCTTCCATTGCTTCTTTATTTCAGGATCTTATTTCATTTGCACTCCTTTCTTTAGGGAAATACGCGTACTTGGATGCTTCCTCACAAAGAAAAAGAGACAAGGCCTGGCTAGTCAGTGATTATTTCAATAGTTCCATCACCTGTTTTCGATTTTCATACTATATAGACGACAAATCAGGTGGTTTGTTGAAAGTTTATCAGCAAATTTTAGGAAGTGCAAAAAGATTATTATGGACAGCAGCCCCCCAACGTAGAGTGTCTAAGTGGTTTGAAGTTAATATGACCATTCCACATACTGGAGTTAATTCGGCATACAGGGTGAGCTCTGCTATAGTTATTGTTTTAGCCATAGGCGTACGAGCCTAAAATTGTTTTCAGGGAGGACAAATATGTCCGCCCGACGACTAACATGAGGTGCGAATCTGCTATTTGGGTCGGGTGCCATGCTCCCCTAGAAATTTTGAAAATTGGAAAATTGAATTTCATGTTTATCAATGCTTTTCATGAGGCGTCGTTGTCACCGAGGGGCGAGTCACTCGAAAAAATCTCGCACGCCTTCTTAAAAACCTCCAAAAAGTTTTTGAAAAATCCAAAATTCAAATCGTAATAGAAGTCGAAAATCTATAAAAATAGGTATAAATAAAATCGGGAGTAGGGGTGGCAGAACACTAGCAGGTAGCAGGGTCCAGGAAAATAGCTATAAAAGTTGTTGAGGTTACCCTGGGTAAACAAAATGAGAAAAAAAACACAGTTTGACTGTGGGTTTCAGCACAATTTCATCCACCTATTACCATTTCTTAACTAACGGCGTCCGTTAAATAATGAGTCTCACGGAAATGTTTTGCGAGCCTAGCCATTTTCGGGGCACCCAAAAATTGCGGCATATTATTAGGTTCTTACTTCTTAGTGCAACACTTCTTGACTTGCAACCATTCTTTTGAGATTTACCAAACAATGTTGCTCGCCCACGTCTGCTGGTGCCAACAATAACATTGATAAGATAATCTTTTTTTATCAGACCACCAACAAGGCTGAATTGCAAGTCAACTATATATATTTCTAGTACAAGTCTGATCTAACAACGTCAAAGCGAAGTAGGCTAAGAAAAGAAAAAGAAATAACATGAGTTAATTTAAGTAAAAACGTTTTGTTACTAAAAATATAATTCTTAAGCTTGGTTCTCATTAAGTCGCTTGAGTCGTCCGAGTCGTTTCCTTGTCAAAACGACTGGGACGACTCAAGCGATGTAATTCTTATATATTCGTAGTAGCGCTGCCGAGAGACTGCTTAGTTAATTTTTTTGCGAAATATTTAGAAATGACATGCAGCTGCTGTTTATCAATAACAAGTTTTTTGCTAGTTATTTGCTCCTTCAAATCGTTTTGCGTCATAAAAAGGTCGCTTGTATTTCTCAACGGTCGTCCGGATAGAGCAAAGTTCTATCCAAGCGACCCTGGTCGTTTCTGTCGTGTGAGTCATTTGAGATCATCCCGGTCGCTTTTAAAATGTTCTCATATAGTCGCACGGGTCGCCTGTGAAATTTTGGCTCGACTGAAACGACTCGGACGACTGGATGAGAACCAAGCTTTAATCTCAACATTTGATATCGGAAGTAAACACAAGCGCGTAAAGCATTGCCGTGAGACTCATTTTTTTACTCACGATTTGTTTAACTCTTACCAAATGACCCGCATTTCATTACAGATAATTGTTGAAGGCATCAAAGGAAATCCGGGCTATCATATTGCTGTTGATGAATTTACATTCATGTCAACAGGTAAGTGTGCCACCTCAACTTGCAAGTATATTTGGTATAAATTGTAAAATGTAACATCACTACATGTATTTATACCATTGCTAAAAATAAGGAAATTTAGCTAAGCTGAAGTCACTTTCAGTTAATTGACTGATTCGGTTTTGGTGAACGATATACCTTGAATAACCTATCCGGTAAAAATGTGAAAATCCCTTAATGTTTTGTAGTTTTGTTTGGAAGTCTATGACTTCATAGAAACGCTGCTTTTTTAAGAATTCAACCAATCGACGCCCATGTTTTTAGAAGTTTTTAGCCTGTGCTAATTAATAATTGTGTATTTAACATCTTACTTCAAATTAACTTATGGTATGAACGCCAGTCTGCTTTATTAAGTAGCTAGAAATCAGATAACAAATAGCAGAATTGTTCTATTCTTATAAATCGTACTTGGCATTTCATGAAAAAAAAAATGCAGTTAAATTATTGTTAAAGATATACAGTAACTCCCATTACTGCAAAAATGCACCTTTTTCTGTAAATTTACAGACTTTCTTTCACGCCCAAGCTGCGCCTGTACTTATTACTGTAAAAAACGACAGAATTTTTTTAACAGTGTTGTATAATGAAGAAACAAGCGATGATTTTGATTGGTCAATTGGCAGCGGCATTTCGCGAAACTCTAATACTGGTCCGAGCACTGACTCAAAAGGTTCAATTTATGGTATAAATGTTGATTAATTGTTATTGATCATTTTAAGCAAAAATTTGGTTGACACAACTATTGAATTTTTTTGGATGAATAAATTAGCATAAAGGACATATTTTAGAATGAAATAAAGTTTCAAGAGAGCTCATTGAAATCTGTGTACAAGAACAATACAAAGCTTCAGTTGATTCTGTACTGAGTAATGTGATCATAACTGTTTAATGCCAACCGAGTCCTTTTGCTATAACCCTGAAAAACAAAAAAATAGATAATTGCGTTGAGTGTGTAAATTTAAAGTGCCTGTATCATGTTTTTGCAATTAGGCTATGTTGACCGCAGTTTAGAAGATTTTAAACATATTGTCAATATATTTTATAATTTATTTTATAATACATTTTATAATATATTTTATAATATAATTTGATCTTTGTGCATAAATCTTGGTGATTTCTTTGCCTGACCGTGACATTAAAAACACTAGGGCGAGAGCTAAGATCTGACGTCATATGGGCACACGCTTTAAGAAAGCACTGTATTTTACCAGTACTTTCGTCAAAAGCATCGCTATATTGTCGTATTACATACGTGTATTGCAGCTTGTGTCGTGGATGTTCAATAACATCCAATTTTAAACGAAATGCAATAGACAAATTCTTGATTTGACGTCAAAAATGACAGTAGCTACAAGCTTTTTTATACTCGCGGTCAAACAATGAAATTTTTCAACTTTGAGTTGAGAAAAATCCAGTAAAATCATACTTTCGAATTATAAAATATATTGCAAAAGTTTTAAAATACCCTGAATTATCTGAATGGCAGAAATGCAAAAACCTGATATAAGCACTTTAAGGATGTCCAAGTGCCGATAGGTTAGATTTCAAACATCATCTTTTGCTTGTCTTTCTATACCAGGAAAGTATTTTTTCATTGAAACATCCCAAAAGCAAGGAGACAAAGCATGGTTGGTCAGTCGAAGTTTTTTCAACTCGAGAAAATGTCTCACATTTTACTATCATATGTATGGCAACAATATTGGATCCTTGAATGTGTACAGAAAAATCTACGGAAATAAATATAAATTCTGGAGCAAAAGTGGTAATCAAGGCAATTCGTGGTTTAAGGCACAAGTAAACGTAGTAAATAGCTTAAAATATAGCTATGAGGTATGTGATTTTATACGCTACTTACTGTAAATATTTCCCTAAAGTGCACTAGATTAACAAACGATTAGTTTTGACAGACTTTACAGAAGTTTTGAAGTATTCAAAGTAGACCTTGCCTGATAAAGGCGCAGTGCAGGTGGTGGCGATTTGAGATTTTCACCGTGCTGAAATTGTTCTGTGCGTGCGCATTAGCACAATTCGCACGTAGTTTTGCTGAAAAATTGCAAACCGTGCTGAGATTGCGACTGTTTAATGTTTCAATAATCCTCTTTCACGCGATTATAGCAAAAATTGAGAAATCAGCTGAGCTTAACCTCAGTGATATTAGAATATTTTGAAGCGACCTACTGACTTTTAAAGTTGATCATCATTTCTAATAAAGGCCTCTAAAGATTGAAATTTGTACACTTCAACTCTTCGAGAAGCGTACGCTACATATATGAATAGAACATGTGCAGTGGATGAAATACAATCATTACAGCGACAAACTCATACAATGACCTAAACCCAATCTACCCGATATCTGACTCCACCAAAATTCTATAGTTATAAGGGAGGCAAGCCGCTATCTTGAAAAGTGGCAAAACAGACGATATTTATGTTTATAATATCTGCTTTTTCTGAGTTGATATACTTGCAGTTACAAAGTTGACAGCCCAGGCTTAGTTTTTAAAATGTTTTATTGCATTGGGTTTTTTAACCACGTTTAAGGCTTTCAGCTTATTTTTCATCTTAACCACCTTTCAAGATGGCGTCCTTGCCTCACTTTAATTGACACGGTAGTTAAACATCTAAGGATTTGGGTTCTACATCATTGACTCAGACCACCACACCGGATTAACCTTTCAGGAGGCCTTGGGCCCATCTTATGTTGGGTGGCCTTTTTAACCAAATTTTCTATTGTGGTATTGATGCGGTATAAGATTAATTATTCGCAGTCGCACTTAATTGCAAATGCATCAAGCAATGTTGGTAACAAAGGATGTGACCTTTGTCATTCAATCACCACAACCAGTCCCTAAATCCAAATTTCCACCATGTTTGAATAGAAGCTGTTGTGCATTTTCGTTGAGCTGTTTTATATGACTCCTGTCTTTTCTAAGTAGTTGAGCCGTGTACGTGTTCAGTCAACATTTTTTTACCAAATATTTGCATATCTTTTATACCTTTCATAAGACATTAGTCAAATAATTTACTTGGGAACATGGCTGGCCACTGTACAATGTCATTGAGATATAGAACTGTTCGTTTTTCTACACCATTAATCCTTTATTACTATAGGCCATGGTTCTTCTATAATCAGTTTAGAAGTTGGACTGATCTAATGGGTGGCCTCTTTTAGCTCCTTTTGGTGGGTGAAGTGAGGTCTTAGCACCATAGACCCACTCCTTTATCTAGCCCTAGCTGTGCCAACACCAAACAAGGACTCAAGATCAGAGTCTTGTTGATAAAGAAACTAGACTTAAGAAAATAATCAACATATATAGTAAGGATAACGTATCTCCTGATAAAAATGTTTGAGGATGCAGGGGAATAAGCGTGTATTTAAAATTGTTATTATGATACCAGAGCTCATTCTTTTTTTTAGATTATCATTGAAGGAGTCAGAGGATCGGGTACTACAGGAGTTATAGCTATAGACAACATCGAACTTAAAAATGGTTATTGTAATTTCCAGTCGACAACTAACTTCTACAGTGTTACAACAGTACCATGTAAGGAACAAATTATTTTATTTTAGTTTTTCGTGATCGCTGACCTTTTTGCTGCAAATATCATATTCACAGTCAACTGTTGAAAAACTTACAATAAGCTGACAAATAATTACTACCAAACAATTTCTTCATTTCTTTGTATTGTTTTGTGTCAATTTTAGACGCACGAGCATGTAATTTTCAATTTGTACTGGGAGCAACAAATCGCGCACTTTTTTGAATGCAGCTATTATTTTACTATGGATAGCTGATATACAGGCGATGTGTTTTACCGTATTGGCTATAGACCATAATAATCGATTCTGAATCTTATCGAACCTGGTTATTAATTAAGTCTTTAGAGGTTACGTTTTAGCTTCGATACATGTGTTTACTTAAATGTTAAATATTGAAGACAAACTAAACTACTAAAAAACAGAGTTTTTTATTTATATTTGTTCTGCTTACAGTAAAATTACAATTTATTTTAGCTTCCAACAAGGCAAGTTCGACTGGATACATTGCAATTGTTTTGGGAACGTGTGGTGGTATTGTTCTTATACTTCTTATAAATTTGTTTATCATTTGTTACATACGTCAGAGGATCAGACAAAGAAACTCATCCAATACAACCACTCAACCCAGCAGAATTCGGAATCGTTTATATTCAACCACTCAACGCGAGAGTGTTCAAATTACGACTGATTCAACCACTCAACCCAACAATATTCAGAATCCTACTTATTCAACCACTCAACCCGAGAGTGTTCAAATTACGACTTATTCATCCACTCAACCCGAGAGTGTACAGAATAAAAATTATTCAACCAATCAACAAAACATTTTGACAAGTTTACCGCCACCCAGTTATGAAAGCGTGTGTAACTGACCACCATCCTACTCCCATGCAACTCATTTTGCCAGTGTTGGTGTCTATCCAAACATTGTACCAACTACAAATTCAGGACAAAACATTTATACGTTGCCGATGAGCAATAATATCTCCGGTAACAATTCCAATCCAAATAATACAAATCCTGAACAAATTGATTTGCCCTCTACTATTGCACCTGTGGAAATTGTTAGCGCAGGAGAATACGTTTTTGAATCCGATACAATAATAAGCAATTATGAATTTTATAAAAGTATAAAAATGAAACTTATTCTTATAAAGTCGCACCTTAAAACCGACACTTAAATTATTTTTATTATTAAATGCATGCAGCAAATAAATGTACATGCAGAAAATAGTTCTTTTGATGTAATGAAATATTAAGGAGCTTTAGCAAGAGTACGACTACGACAACAAGTGATATATATATATATATATATACGAGTACGAATTTTGACCGTGTAAGAGAATGGCACTAGGAAGTTTGTTCTCGTTGTCGCTTCGTTAAAATTTTGTTTTAGTTGTAAACAACAGAACGAGCCTTTTTATTGTGTAAAACGCCAAAGTTTGCGAAGCAGCTACGGCTCTATTTGTCAATAATGATATCAATGAATCGGTAATACTGATTTTGCGAGAATATAGGACTCTTTAGACAGAAAAGTCTTCACTATTTTACGTTTTTTGTACGATATATTTGTACTATTTTATTGTTTGTTTACCTTTCACTTTGCGTACAAAGTACATGAAAGTTTTGCAGGTCATATTTTCCTTTTTAATGTACATCTGCGCTCAAAAAAGGTTCTAAATTAAAGCCTGGATGCTCGAAAATAGTACTGTAAACTAATTCCTTACAGAATGAAGAAATATACATACTTTTTTTCCTTAAAAAGACTTCGAAGTCGCGACTACTAATTTTTTACAAAACATCGTGCTCAGATTGATGACGGCTACGTGTTTTTGTTGTCGCAACAATGTTTTCGTGCCAAAATGACGTAAATCGTACTCGTAGTCGTACTCGTAGTCTTTGCTAAAGCTCCCTACTGTTTGCAAGGCTTGTTAGCTGTTGAAATAGAAATAATTCACTTTTCAAATTTTATAAGCAAATTTGAATGGAAAAAATTTCAGGAAGTATCTGTTTGGCTAATGCAAATATGTGCTTTCGAATTGTGTTAAAAAGCCAATAGCAGTGAAGGGAATGAACAACACCTCGATCTCGTTCTTCAGATTTGTTATTTCTGAAGCGTATTGTTTTTCATTGTACATTGAACCAGCCATAAACGTTGATCATTTAGGATAGCTTAAACTTGCTTGCCCGCCATCTGATCGATATATTTTGAGTGACGAAATATCTAGCTGTAAAAAGCAATAACTTCGTTATGTTGATGAAACCATGAGTAAGGTCTTTGTAATAAGTTATAGCCAATTATACAGGCTCTACGTACATATTGATACAGATTGGTAAATCATTCCATAGCTTTTCGTTGGAGAAGAGAAGTTGCGTCAAGCCTAAAAGAAGGTATAGAGGATTTAGATTGTTTATTCGTTTTTTTGGCAGATTTTTTTAGGCAGATTTTTTCTTTAATATTCTGATTTAATAACTACGAAAAACATTTAGAATTAAAACAGCCAATTTGCCCTAATTTGAGAATTACAACCGGGATGACGTGTAGCGCTTTGCAAACAGTTGTAATTTTTAACCTGGAAGTTTTGCCTCCTTTAATCCCTTGAAATCATCGGGCGAGCTCGCTTTCCGGGCCAGCTCGCCTCCATATAATCGGGTCCTAAGTTAAAAATATTTCAGATAATCATGCAGATTAGGTTTTTTAATTAAAACAGGAACAACATAACTCGTGATATTCAACTGGAAAATTATTGCGACGTGACCGATTTTTAAAACATTCCAATCATCAACGTACATTGTAAATCCATACATTTAGTAAGGTACGTAGAGTTTGTTAAATAAGTTTTGACCGTGAAAGTTCCAATAAGAAAGTGAATAAGATGTTTATAATCAAAATAAAAATTTGACACCTCAACTGCACTATGACAACCAAACATTTGACAGCGAAATATACGCATCTTTCGTTTTGATACTTTCCAGCTTTATCGTTAGTATAGACACAAAAATTTTTCTTCGCTTAAAAAAACTATTCTCTCTCAATACGCAGGAACATTTTGCAGATAAAATAAGTCGCAAGTTAAATAAAAATACGCAAGCAACTCGTTGCTACGTGTAATTATGTTTAATTCATTTCCGTATGCACAGAGTCGACAGTTGCAATATATGTTAGTTTTAGGTTTTGGACGACGATAAACTTGATTGTTTACTTTTGTAAAGAGTTTAAGAGAAGACTAAAGTTGCTACTGATTACTACGTTAAGATATTTAGAAGTAGAACAGGAAAAATTTTAATCAAAATAACTTAATATCCATTGAGCAAGATCGAGTCTTTCGCTTTTTAATATAAACAATACATCAACAACTATCTTCAAATTATTAGAAAAATTATTACAAGTACAACCTTTTCTTTATGAATACTAGAATGATTCTACGACAAACAATCAAATCACTCGTATTGGCTGGGTGATTATTTTTATATATGAAGTGATATTAAAGTCGGCACTCGGCAGGCTTCCTAGACGGTTTTTTGGAAATTGAAATTCGAGCCAGACAGACTTTGACATTAAAATGCTTTGAAATGATATTGTCGACTGCAATGAAAAAATTGTAGTACTATTTTTTAAATTTCTTCATGTCGTAGCCGATGCCAAAGACAGTTCTAGTGTGTCTGATTTCTTGTATTATTCATTCAGTTTGTGGTATTATCGTGCAGTGGTGTTGCTGGCGGATCTAGCATGTTCACATACCCCCTTCATAAAGTTTTGAAATTGATATGACATATTAACATAAATTAAAATTCACAATTTTATCTAAAATGGAAGCAAAGCTTAATATGCATCTTTTTTCTTTTAATATCAAGACTCATAGTCGTAAAATTGTAATTTAACTCATCAAATTCAAAATGACTTTTGAAGATGAACATTCCATACCCACTTGCAATAATATGTAAAAGGCCTGTATTTAGGAGAGTCATATTACAGAATAAAGTAAATTTTACCAAGAAAACAGCGCTTTCATGACCAATTTAAAATCTAACGACTACCTTGAAGCTGTGTAATTGATCTCTGTTTACAATTCAGTGAGATATAAACTTTCAGCCCTGAAATCACAATGCAATACATTATCATTTCTGACATTTTAAATGAACGACGAGTTTTTTTATCGTAAACATGTTTCGGCATGCTTATGCCATTAATTTTTATTAAAATTTTTATGCCATTAAATTTTTTTTTACGATAAAAAAACTCGTCGTTCATTTAAAATGTCTGATATCCATCGTGCTTTTAAGAAATTATGGAATTATCATTTCTATAATTTCCTATTCAACAAAGAGTTTGGCAGACTGGTCAAAATTGAAAACTAGCCAATCCAAAACATTTTTTGAGCTTTTAAAACTAACAACATGTCATACATTCATACAGATACGGTTGACTAGAATAAAATAACACTTGCTTTTTTAATCGCGTAGTAACGCGAATATGTACCGGCCTACCGGGTTTTTCAAGAGAATGTTTATTTCAACAACTTGTTGATGAAACAATGTAGTGTGAATCTATGTTTGCTTTGATTTTTAAATATGGAACTAACGAATTTTATAAACTTTACTTACTTCACTTGACCGGTTTGATGCACCGTAGATCCACAAGTGTTATTATGGTGTCAAAAATGTGGCGCTTATTTCTGTTGGTTGTTTTTGTTACAAGTTTTTCATCTAAAAGTAAGTCATCAGTTAAGAAACATAAAATATTATGAAAGAAATTTGATTTCTTATTTGTTATTGTTTTATATCTTTTTCAAGCATTTTTCTCTGATTCATAGGTTTTGGCATTAACATCTGTTCAACAAGAGCAATAACTTTATCCAGTGGTTACATTACTTCACCTAATTATCCCAATGATTATGATAATAACATAAATTGCATCTTAACGCTACGAGCACCATTTGGTTTTTCCTTTCGTTTCACGTTTACCAAACTTGATCTTGAAGTTAACCCGAGCGGTAAGAAACGATACAGGAAAATTTTCATTTTGTTTTAAAACCTGAGAGATTATGTTGAAAATTACTTGAATTCAAAAACAACCTTAGATATAATTCTATTTTTGTTTTGAAGGATAAATTCTATTTCTTTCATATATTAACTAATGTCTTCGTCAAAGGTATTTTTCATTCAAAAATTTTGAAAACATTTCACTAATAATGATAGACAAAAATGAAAGTAATTTTGTTTCACTTTATAAAGTAACATCACACGTGATTTTTGGGCACAAAAACCAGCTATAATTTATCTATGTTTATTTAGGTCAGTGCTACGATCATGTAAAAATTTCAGGAATTCGGTCGAGACATTTTTGTAATAAAATCACCCCTTTCAACTTCAACCCTGGTGGCAATGTCGTTACTGTTCAAATGTATTCGGATGCCAGTATTACAAAAGATGGCTTTCGTCTCCAATTTGTACGGTACGTTTCAGGTACTACATCCACACCTACACCCACAGGTAAAGGTAAGACAACATTACTCTCTTTATATGTTTGTAAATGATGATCGTCCAGGTTAATAAAGTCCTGAGAAGGACTGTTTTTGTTGTTGTTGACTGACGTTTCGACAACCTTAGCGGTAGTCATCTTCAGAGTCAAATGAGGTGTAAACGTCAGGTTAGCCGTATTTGTTGTCTGGTTCTTACGTCATTGTATTGTGTGTACAGGAAATGTGCAGGAAATGTGTATTGTCATTGTGGATTAGTGTGAAGTGAAATATTTTATTTTTAGTTGTGATGTGTGATTTAGGTGTGACGTTTTTAGTTGTAGTGTGTGGGTGTCAATTGTGTATTGTCATTGTGAATTAGTTTGAAGTGTAATGTTTTTAGTTGATCGTTTGTTTGTATTGTGAATAAGTCGTTTGTAAGGTCCTGATAATTGCTGTGATCTGTTCAGGGGGGTTTGTTCCAAGTTTGTTCCAAAACTGCCTGTTTTTTAAAGTAATTTTAAAGTAAAATGTACAGAGAGATCATTTTTAGACTGTTTGAGATTTTGTCGTACACCTGAAGGTTTTATGTTCCATGGTTCAGGGGGGAAAAATCACAGTTTTTACGTATAAATGTCCACATAGATTTCAACATTACACCGTCTTGTAAAGAAATGTAAGTATATCTGTAGTTTTTACTTCTACTTGATGTAAGCTTATTGTGAACCTTTTTTATAGACATATTTATACTACTGTATTTAAGAAACAGTGTTCCAATCGATTTATAAAAACATGGGCTTTTTAAGCCTTCAACCAATTCTTTTCATGATTTTGAATTTAACATCTTACTTCTAATTAATTAATGGTAACAAAAGCTGGCTTTAATAAATAAAAAGCAGAATTTCGTTCTTATATTCCTACTCGGTGACTCTCATCTTCATTTCCTGACAGACAAAGGCGATAAATAGATGTTTGAACTTTGAAGTATTTTTCTTATTTTATGACGCAGCTTGCGTGTCTAATGTTTACATTAAAGTGTGACTGTTTTTGTTCCAGTTTGCGATTACCGTTTGGGAACGATATCTTGTCCATGGCATAATGAAAAAACAAACGATGATTTTGATTGGTCGATTGGCAGGGGCAGTACATCAAGCTCCAATACTGGTCCAAGCACAGACTCAAAAGGATCAATTTATGGTAAATGTTGATTCATTATTAGTCATTATTTAACACGAAAATTTGCTTAATTTAAACATCTATAGTAATTTTCGTCTATGAATAAATTAGCTTTAATTATGGGACATATATTATCTGTTACTAAAAGAACGAAGCTTCAAGAGAGTTAATTGAAGTCTGTGTATATAAGAACAATACAATGCTTCATTTGACCTTAGTGAGTAATTTGATCATTACTGTATACTGCCAACCAAGTCGTTTCGTTATCATCCTTAAAAATAACAAAGGCTCGACTGAGGAGCGCGGGCTCGTTTTTGCTTAGGATTATAGGGTAGGGTTTGGGTCAGCGTCCTAGGTGTCCGCTAAACTGCATGCAGTAGTCCCACAACAAAAAACTTGCTGATTGCGTTGAATAAGTAAATTTAAGGATGTCCAAGGGCAGAAACGTTAGATATCAACCATTACCATTTGCTTGTCTTTTCAATTTATGGTCAATGTTAATCAGTTATTAGTCATTATTTTAAGCAAAAATTCGGTTAATTTGAACATCTATATCAGTTAATTTTCGTCAGTGAATAAATTGGCCATATAGGACATATATTATCTGTTTATAAAAGAACAAAGCTCCGAGAGAATTAATTTAAGTCTGTGTATAAGGCCTAGTTTTCACTAGCGATAGAAGCGCAAGCAATAAAACAAAGCAAAGCATATTCTCCTGTTGTTTGAGGGAAAAAAAGAAAAGGGATTTTCTTTTCAATATGCTTTTGTTCTACCTTATGCTCATGTCAAATTGCTGTGCTTAGTCTTATGTTGATGCTTATGTCAGTGGCTTCATTGCTTTCATTTGTATTTTCTTTCGTCTTTGTTTGTATTTATGCTTATGTCGCTAGTGAAAACCAGGCTTAAGAACAATTCAAAGCTTCATTTGTCCCAAGGGAGTAATGTAACGGTAATTGTATTCTGCTAAACAATTTGCTATAACCTCTAAAAACAACAAACAAATGCCGATGCGTTGAGTATATAAATATACGGAACACCTAGTGCACAGAAAGGTTATATTCAGCTATCACTTTTTGCTTGTCTTTTCTACCAGGAAAGTATTTCTTCCTTGAAGCATCCTCTCCCAGACAGCAAGGAGACAAAGCATGGTTGGTTAGCCAAAGTTTTTCTTACTCAAGAAAATGTCTCACCTTTTACTATCATATGTATGGCAACCATATTGGATCTTTAAATGTGTATCGACAAACTTATGGACTTTTTCAAAATTCAGTTTGGAGCAAAAGTGGTAATCATGGCAATTCGTGGTTTAAAGCACAAGTAGATGTGACAGGCGTATTTTATTATAATTACTATAAAGTAGGTGATTTTATATGCAAGATAAAGATTTTTCTACTATAGTATACGTTGATATACATTACAGAAGTTTTTAAGTAATCAAAATACACCCCTCTTGATAAAAACGCCAAACAAGGGCTCAAAATTAGAGTCTTGGTCATAAAGAAACTAAACTAAAAAAATATATAGTCAGGATCACGCATCTCCTGACAAAAACACAGGAGGATATATAGGGGAATAAATTCGTATTATATTGTTAGTATGATACCAGAGCTCATTCATTTTTTTTTAGATTATTATTGAAGGAGTCAGAGGATCTGGTTTTAAAGGAGATATAGCTGTGGATGATATTGAACTTAAAGATGGATACTGTAATGTCCAGTCGACGACCCCCTTGTACAGTCTTACAACAGTACCACCATGGAAACGAACATGTGAGTAACAAAGGTTTTTTATTTTGTAGCAATTGCATGGAGATCCCTGACGTTTTTAGTATGCAAATGTCATGCTTACAGTAAATTGTTAAAAACTTACAGTTAATTGATAGTTTATTACAACTAAAAAGTTTCTTAATTTTTTGGTACTATTGTGTTTCAAATTTTAGATGCACGAGGATGTACTTTTCAAAATGGACTGGGAACAACAACGTGTTGTTCCCAGTAAGCTACGTGCAGTCTGTCGACATGTTGACTGAACATGGGCTTCACATTGTTAAGCGTTTCTTGAGTACTACTAAGCAATTTGTGAAAACACGCTCAACATGTTGAGCTTGACAATATTCTACAATGCTTAATACGCTGCGTATTTACAGCTACATATATGGTTTAGGGGTTGTTTACAAGATCATTTAAGTGCATTGCAAGGAGTCAAAATTTCAAGCGTAAAATTACAACTGTTTTCAAGCGACACTAGTCATTCCTGTGATAATTCCAAGTAGGCCAATTAAATTGGTTGTTTTCATTTTAAATGTTTTGCGTATTATAAAGTCAGAATATTGTGAAATTGCTCGAGAAGATTTGTCTGATGATAAGTATTGAATCATTTCCATTTTCCAAAATCATTTAACAGAACGAATAATATATTTATATCGATAAATCATTGCAATAAACTACACACTTGCTTAAATCAAATTCATAAATGTATGAAAACGAAATTTTTTGAAAAAAGAGCTAGACCATAATATCTATTCAAAATCAAAAAAGACCTTCTTATCACATCTGCATAGATTAATATAGTTAGCTTCGGTAAATGTTTTTGCTTAAACAAAGACGAACAAAGCCATTACAAAGTTTTTTAATTGCTTTTATTGTGTTTGCAGTAAAATTTAAATTTTTATATAGCCTCTAGCAAATCACATTCCACACGAAACATTGCAATCATATCGGGAGCAATTGGTGGTCTTGTTCTTCTACTTATTATTGGTTTGGTTATCATTTATTACGTACGTCAGAAGAACAGACAAAGAAACTCAACCAGCTCTACCACTCAACCTGGAAGTGCTCAGAATCCGAATTATCAAACCAATCAACATGGCAGTCTTCAGAATCCGACTTATTCAAGCAATCAACAAAATACTATGACAGGCATACCGCCACCTAGTTACGAAAGCGTTTGTAACACATCGCCTTTTTACATCCACGCTACTCCTGGTTTTACCAATCATGGTGCTATTCCCCACTTGGTACCAGCTACAAATTTAGGGCAAAACGTATACGTGGTACCGATGAGCACAATTGTCCCTGGTGACAATCGCAATCCAAATCCAAATCCTGGAGAGATTGTGCGAAATGTGCCCGCCTCAATTGCACCTGTAGAAAATGTTGGCGCAAGACGAAACGTTTACGAGTCCAATGCAACAATCGTCGGTCAAGGACAAAAATGATTTTGATTTTATTTTGAAATCTGATGAAAGTATAAATAGAAGACTTTTATCATTGTTTGTAGTACAAGTCTTGCGTTTGTAAAACACTTAACTAATGCATGTTAAACAACTCAATTTTATTTATATATCAAACACTGTTATTCTGATAGAATATCCCCCAACAAATGGAGAAAAATATCGTTTGATAAGTTCTGTACAGATAAATATAATTTTCTTGATTCGTTTTTGCTACAGAAACTGCAGTTGTATGTAAGCAATGTATATGCATTATCAAGAAATAATGTAGTAACTAACGAATTATCACACCCCAGTTGTTGAAACTATAAAATCTACACTTAAATAAATGCATGTGTATGCGGCAATTAGTCATTTTGTCGTGATGAAATAATTAATGTCTACAATGCTTGTTAACTTTTAAAATAGGAGTAACTTTCATTTGCAACTTTCATTATACTTCAGTAAGCTTAAATTAACACGCTTTCCAATTGAGTTAAAAATAGCAGTGAGCAATAACTCTCGCTATTTATATCCATTGTTCTTTATTGTACTTTAAACCAATCATATACTACTCTGAACATTTAGAATAACAATAACTTTTTTGCTCACTATCTGAAAACGTTTGAGTGAGTTTTTGGTGGCGAGGTTAACCCAAATTATAAGGACTCAGCGTACATCATTGATACTAATTTGCTAGGAGAAGTTCTTATATTTCTTCTGATTGGTGGAAAGGATGTTGTGTAGAGACTAGAAAAGGTAGCTTAATACATAGTGATGATTGATGAAACATTAGAAAAATCCTTGCGTAGAATCGTGTATAATTGCCAGTAATACCTAGATGACAATTCTGAAGAAATGTCGTGGTACGTTGTCGTTAAGGTAAGTGCAACAGACTCAGCGTAAAAGACAGACTGCCTAGAAAAGATTATTCCATGGACTTTTATTGATTAAAGAGAAGCCGCATCAAGCTTGAGAGAAGGTAGGTAGTACAGTAAATGATGAATCATTTGGAAAATCTGTACGTGAAATCTTGGATATTAGACGGTAATACCTTAATCACAAATGGTGTGTTAGACATTCTGGAATATTATCGAAGTCAGTTTAACCAATTGCTCAACATTGACACCCCAATGAAATTTTAATGTTGTAAAAGCTATTAAAAATTTTTTAATAGATTTTCATTGGCCAACTGTTGAGAGTCAGTACAATGAGTCGAGACTCATTTCGTGATATGAATTGCACCTTTTCAAGTCCTGATAATGCAGTTTTTAGGTGGAGTAAGAGTTTTAAAAACATTCTGTACAAGTCACATCATCTGGGAGACCAGGACTATTTAAGACAAACTAGATCATGAGCAAATTGATTTTTTAATTTGTTTTTATTGCTTTTACAATAAAATTTTAATAAGTTTGCAACAAATCACGATCGACAAGAAACATCGAAATTATATTGGGAGGAATTGGTGCTGTTGTTCTTCTACTTATTTTTGGAATGGTTATCATTTTTTATATACGTCAGAAAAGCAGACAGAGAAACTCAACCACCTCCACCTCTCAAACTGGAAGTGTTCAGAATGCAACTTATTTAACCAATCAAACTGCTGGCAGTCTTGAGAATCTGAATTATTCAACCAATGAACAAATTACTATGACAGATACACTTCCTCCTAGTCCCGTAACCTTGTGTAACGTACCACCATTTTACTCACCAGTTACTCGTGGTTTTGCGAGAGGTAATGTTCTTTCAAACATTGTGCCAGCTACAAATCCCGAGCAAAACGATGAGCTGACGAGCACAATTTTTTCTGCTGACAATCCTAATTCGAATTCAAATCCTGAAGAGATTGTGCATGATTTGCCCGCTACTATTGCACCTGTAGAAAATGTTGGCGAAGGAAAAAAAGTTTCCGAATCCGATGCAACAATAATTGGTGAAGGGCAATTGGTGATTTTGAGTTTAGTGTGATTTGAGTTCTGTGGAAAAGAGTTAGATAGCATTATGAAATATGCAGGCTGGTTACGCCACTGGTCTTATTTGTCATCTGGACGAATTATCTGGTGAAGTATGGATTGCTAAATACCACTTGTATAGGCGGTCGCTGTATACACATGTAATATATTATATATATACTCTGATGATGGCTTTGGAATAAAGTATACACATGTTGCAACAGTGTTGTACGTTTTACTGACTCGACTACAAAAATTTTGACATGAAATAGACACTTTGTCGTCTTGGCAAATACAATGGTGAATGGTCAAAATAATGACAAAATAATTCTTATAAAAACTGTTTAAAACCCGAACACTAACCCAATAGTTCAAAAAGAACTGTTGTAAGCTGAAAGACATGATGCATTTTGATAAGTACTCATCAGGCGTCAACGTGTGTTAAATGGGTACTTAAAAATCATATGGTAATTTATAATGGTAAGAAAAAGTTAACACAATCTCTAAGTTGGGAGATATTGCAACTGAGAATGTTTAATTTTCAGTTCGATTTGCAATTTTCATTGGAAAAAAAAGGAAGAGCTTAATTAATGATAATATGTATGTGCTTTACGATTGGGTTAAAATAACAACATTACTGTAATTTGAACCAATCATATACTCTAATCATGTAGGTGGTAGTGATGAAGTATTTTTGAACAAGTCGCTTTCTATTATTTGATTGATATTTTTCGAGTGAGAATGTCTAGCTGTAGAAAGCAAGGATTTGGCTACGTCACAGTATTGTGAACACACAGTAGATTGTAATGTCTCATTAATAATTAAATCGAACACAGACTCGTATGGATTCAAAATTGGAATTATATTTCAAAGACCAGCCTTAGCCTTCTTTATCAGAGAGACTGTAAGGCTTTGTAGGGCCCTCTATTTATATTAATTTTAACTAATTTACATCGTTCAGGATGTCTTCGATTGTATACATTACATACAGCAGTTCCATTGAATTTTTTTGCAACGCATATCTTTTTACGCGTGTGATTACCATTATGGCAGCCAGTCGATTTCTTTCTTTTGACCAATAGGAATGATGAAATGGCTAACGGCAGCCATTAATCTAAATAAATCTACCGGCAGCCAGTGATAGCACAGTACAGTGATATGCAGTAGAGCCACTCCATTGAATTTTTCGTGCCACGCCTATCTTATTACGCATTTCATTACCATAGTTGCAGCCCGTCATTTGCTTTTTTCGACCAATAGGAATGATAAAAGGGCTAATGGCAGCCAATAATCTAATTAAATATACCGCAGCCAATTGCACACGAAGTGGATGTACTGTATATATACCCTATACTGTGGTGATAGTCAGTCATACACGAAGTGAACTTTCTGCATGTGTATTCTTTATACTGTGGCTGTGTTGATGAAAAGTTTAAGTAAGTTCTTGGTATTGACGTTAATCAACCCTATATTAATGATTGGTGCATCATTTTGAAAATCCTGGTGTAAAATCGTCGATATTCGGCCGTAATGCTATATTTACGATTGTGAAGATGTCGTGGTGAGTTGTAGTTGAATTGGAGAAATAAAATCAATTTAATAAAAGCAGGTATTTCTAGTATAATTTCCTTTTAGTTAAATACTTGGGTCGTCTTTTTCAATAATATCTTCTTGTAACATGATAAATGATTCACGGTTGTCTGTGAACCGTATACTAACAATTAGCCAAAACAATGAGCTTATAGACATTAAGTTTTCTGTATGAAAACTCATACACTCTTTAATCTGACGAACATATTTTATAAATTAATGCCTGGTTTACACTAGTGAACAAAACATGTATGAGGGGGAGAAACCTAGCTTAAAGCATGGTTTTCTGTAGCGACATATAATCACAACCAAGAATACCAGCAAATCGATGTGATATCACATTCTCATGGGGTTAGAAGGCACGAAAACAAAAGGAATTTTCTTTTCAATTTACTTTTGCTTCATTTCATATGTTGTGTCAAGTCGCTGTGCATGTGTTTATGAACCGTTTCAAACGTCGCATGTACATGAGCCGAATGCAATTAAAACAAAAGATAATGAGGAATTTTATCTCATTTTCTTTTGTCTTTAAGGCATTCCCCTCATGTAAAATGCAACGTTTGAAACGGGCCTATGTTGATTTTGATGATTGTGACACTTCCATTGCATTTTTTATTTTTTTTATTGCTTATCTATTTAAAATACGTTTACGTTGTCTATACTCGTGAGACTTAAAAAGACAAAAGAAAACAGATTTTTTTGTTCATCTTGCTTATGCTTGTATTTAACTGCTTATGTCGATGCTAATGCTCAATGCTTTGCTTATTGTATTGCTTTAAGTTTATCAATACTTGTGTTCACACCATTAAACTAAAATACATGGAACGCTAACTAAAGCAAATTGCTGAAGCCAAATCTTACACCTAGACACGCGAGATTACATGCAGACACGCGTGTGTTGTGTTTCGAGATTCTCTCGCAGAGTAAAAATTGATTGACTACACACGCGTGTCCTGGTGTAAATCTCGCGTGTCTGGGTGTAAGATTTGGCTTCAAAAAATTACTAGGGTTTTCTATTACAGGAAGCGTTCCATGTATTTTACTTCAATGGTTCGCGCTTATTAAACTTGTGGCATAGAGTGTTTTCAGAAAACTGCATTACAAAAACAAATGTTAATTTAATGCTCGTTTGAGCATCGGCACTTTGATGAAACTACCCCAAACATGGCCCCCATGACGTCACATTCAAACACTATATTACCAACCATTAGTGTTTGTAAGACGTATCTGATAAAGGAGAATCAGTAGCTGATCCAGAGTAAGTCAAAATAAATTACTGCAGCACATTTTGGCGTATATCAATATTTCTAAAAACCTTAGCGACAAACTCATTGGTAGAATTATATGCTTCAGAAATTCAAAACCAATAATGTTTTTCTAAATGTAATTTGAATTTAAAATTGAGGAGCTGCAATTTATTTTAACGTACACTGGATCCGTCACTGAGGAAAATACTTTCTCTTTGTGTAACTTTGGCATTTGAAGCTGCTCTACAGCGTGTCCCAAAAAGAACGGAGCCCACGTAAATAGTTATGTATTCGCTAAAGTTATTAAGCACAATAATATAACTGGCATTCAAAAACTGTTCAATGAACTTCACAGTTCTGCACCTCTGGAATTTATTAAGGTTTGTACAGCATTAGCCTGTTAATGCAAAACAACTTAAATCTTAATATTACTGTCATCACACACTGATTTTCATCTAAAATTACTACGCTGAATCTCTGTCAAGGCAAAGTGATATTACCTAAGTTATAGGAGCCACAAAAACGTAACCATATTTTCCATAAATTGCAACAAACATGGACAAGCGTATGACTAAATCTAACCAGACGAAAAAAATAGCGATGGTCGATTAATTTTCTTATACAGATTTCATTTATTGCATACGTAATAATTTGTGCAGGTTCCATTTTTTCTGGAACACCTTCTAATAGGTGGAGTGCAACTATTCCACTGGAAGTGAGAGAGCAATGGATGTTCGCCATATTGGATGATATTTGCATTGTATATATGGAAAGCCCTCTATATAAAATCATCCAACATAGCGGCTAGGATGTGGCTTGCACACCAAGAATAGATATATCATCTTTCTATTTACCACAATGTACTGAGAAGTTAAGTTTTAAGACAAATAATGTAGACGGGGAATGCCATAAAGAAACTTATGAATCGCAGAAGATAAAGAGAAAAGATGCCTGTGAAGTGAGTGATGTCACGACGCGGGTAATGCATTTATAAAGGTAAAATTTAGTCGATAGTATACAAAAATATATTATACTAAAAAACGAACTTTCTGGCTTCTGTATTACATATTTCTAGACAACAAAGCCGTCTTCAAGATGCTACAAGAAATGTATAGATTATCCTTCGAAACAGAACAACCCTCTTCACTCTTCATATCAATCATTCGACTACCATGCCTTTTAAAATATTGCTTTCATTTTATATTTCCAATTCTGTATTCCTTGCTATCCTATATATGTACTGTTTCTAAGGCAGTCGTTTGAAAAAATTATGACCTTTAGGATTAAGCATATATCCTGTAATTCAATGGCGTCAGAATTCCACATCTGGGGCTCCTGGTAAAAATTTTTAAATTTCTTTTTTATGCAGAAGACTACTTTGCAAAATTTTCTTCATTAAAAGCACATTCTAGGAAGGAGAGCCTCGGGCCAAGGGGCCCTGGTTTTACACAAGTTTACACTGTTTACACAATGCTTACACCAGTTTATACAGTTCACACAGTGTTCACACAGTGTTTACACAAGACTTACACACTCTGTGCCATTAGTAATTACGCCCCTGTTCTAATTTGTATTTGCATCTTAACTGAATGTTCTAGAGGTCAACACAAAACAGTTAACGTGCTTTTTAACATATATCAATATGGAGGTGCTTTTTGCGTTTGGATCCTGCATGCAGCATTGAATAAATAATGTATTTACAACAGAAATATTATAGTTAAAAAAGAATTTGCATTACGCTGGCAGAGTATTGCAAAATCATTAAATTCAACGACTGTTTGAAGATATATTACTTTAACAGTCAAAGAAGCCGTCGACGTTAAATATTCAATCGCTTTATTCATACAGTGTACCTATTATAGGAATTGTAAATAGTTATAACATTGATAAAACAATCAACTGAATGAAATGTTTCAATGCCCATGCAGTAAATAATTTAGATAGCTAACATGGGTAGCTTTTTTGTGAAGCTAGTAAACTTACAATATCATAAACAGAATGCATCAGGAGAGAGGAAAATGTTTCGAAATCTTCAAATCAAACTTGAGTGCTAATTAAGAGTGCTCATTTGTCCATCTCGTAAATATGATTATACGGACCAGTAATTTGGGATTATTCTAGACTATTAAATGCTGCGGCGTTATAAACTCCTATACTGACATTAAAGAGCGCTGAGGAACTTTTTATATAGATTGCAAACATCTTCATATCAACTTCTTTGAAGGATCAGACATTTTCATATTGCATCAAATAAGCCTTACTGCAAATTTTGCAGTTAGCAACTGTAGACAAAATCATTGCAAAGTACGAGTTTCGACTGGAAATTCTAAAGTAACAGATCTTCTGCAAACACTGTTGCACAAAATTTATCAGTTCCTACAGTTTGTCATGGTTTTGATAATTATTCTTACAGTAATAGATGGAAATAGATGCAAGATTATGACTGCGGTATTTGCTTGTTTGACTGCTTGTTTGTTTTGACTTACTACTAACTTGTTGTTTAGTAGTTTTCAGATGCAGAGGACGAGAAGAATAAGAACAAGACATAGGTATATGTTTGTTTGTTTTTGACATACTACTAACTTGTTGTTTAGTAGTTTTCAGATGCAGAGGACGAGAAGAACAAGAACAAGACATAGGTATATGTTGTTTTTTTTTGACATACTACTACCTTGTTGTTTAGTAGTTTTCAGATGCAGAGGACGAGAGGTACGAGAACAAGACATAGGTGTACGTTTGTTTGTTTTTGACATGCCCCTAACATGTTTTTTAGATATTTCTTTCAGATGCGGTAGGCGTGAAGATCATAAAGAGGAAGTCAGGGGCTGTAAGTGTGTTTGTATTTCTATCATTCATCAAATCTATCAATTTTTCGTTTGTTTCTTTTAGAACAACCGACAGCCTATCATGGTCAATTAACGTTTCTTACCGTAAGTTTAACAAATTATTTTTAGCTGTTTTAGTACTAAGTATTATCATTTGAAGAAAGTATTTTTTCAAAAGACAAAATCCATGACTTTCATTCTTCGGTGTTTGCAGATGATCATGAAAAGTGTGAATTCCAAAATACATCTAACACACGAACACAAAAACATTCACACATGCATAAATATTTCTAATATTCTATCTAAATTAGAGAGCTCCCTCGCTGTCTAATTTAGAAAGAAGTTTTGCAAAAAGTATGTATTCCAAAATAGACTTCTGCCATCTTTTTCGGAGTAGCTTTTTGCAAATAAATTCCTGCAACCTACATTTCACGATAATCTTCCCAATTTTGTTAACAAAATCGATTCCATCACATGTAATACAAAATCTGATTGCATAATGACACCAAGTGTTTTACAAAAACAAAAAAATCTATAATAAGTGTCTCAAATCATTAAAAAAGTTATTACTGTTTTACTCTTGCGGTAGTTTAAGTAGTTGTTAATGGTATTCGGTTCTACGAGAACGGCTGTCTGACATGGTCCAAACCAAACAAGATCACATTATGCATGTCGTGTATAGAATGTTCAATCAATAAAAGTCTTCCCAACGAGGTCTTTAAGACTAATGGGGCGTTTTCATCAGTCGCCATGATGGTAGAAAATATCATACAACGATCGGAAAGAGCTCATGTTAATTTCATGCTCTGTTGAGCATCGGCACTATAATTTAACCTACCAACATGGTCGCCATGATGTTACATACAAACACTTTACTTAGTAATTTGGTATTTTAACGTATTAAAGACTACGTGAAATATTTGCCAAGATATATAAAAACTTGGCTGCAGAGGTGCAACTAGAACGTTAATTGGTTGGGGGGTGTATATTCATATATTCAGTTGTGCCCTATTAATTTCTTTTGAAATTCGAATCACTTTCACAAGAAAATCATTTGTGAAATGATTTATTTCCACGCTCTTTTGACGAGCAAATTGTTCATAGATGAATTACTGCTGAGTCATGGGAATTCAAAATGCGTTGATTTCAAAGAGAAGTAAGCCCCGTTTACACCATACCGAATTACTTTCGTAGCAGATAAAATTTTTGTAGTAAAAGGCAGTGAAAGTGTTCAACTTCAGAAATACAAATAAATAGACTAAATCTATCAACTTAATTAAGCTTTTACTCCGAAAAGTTACTTCTTTAAAGCAACTTAGATGTCCTGATGTGCGAATCCGGTATAGTGTAAACGCAGCCTTAGTTTAATACAGTCTGTACAGGTTTTTCTGAAAAAAATGGCACTATACTGAGTATATTAAAACAAGAAAACTTTAGAAATTTATGAATTGCAATAATTTCAATCCCTAATCACTATGCTACTCCCACGCTTGCATTACGTACTTCCGTCAAAGTTCTGGGAGCAGAAAAGCCTCTGTGCTTGTAATAAAGATATCTAATAAACATCATGGTGGCCAAAAAATAAAAATTATACATCTTCTGTTAAACACGCGCAATCATAGCTCTGAGAAGTGGAAATATTTTTTAAACCGACTTTTTGCTTGCTTCCATCATCGCAATTCATTTCGTTTATACAACCGTGGACACAGTGTAGGGATTAACACTATAAATTCTGCTATTTGTGACACATCCTGTAGAATAATAGAAGCTTTTCTACAAATTTATTGTATTGAGCTTGACGAGCAACTAAATATTATGTATTTATTTTTGTAGAATTATAATACATTTATGTAGAGATTGGAAATTTTTGTTGTATCTAAGAAACTTTTCCTTTGAGTGTTAAGGGAAATCTGTTTCACTGAACGCGAAAACTCCGTAATGTGCAGCGTACGTACACCAACTTTTTCAACCCTACTTCATTTATGTAAAAACGGCTTGAAGCTTTCAAGAGTTTTTACCATTGGTTTTTACATTCCTTCGTTTAAATTAATTTGGGTGCTGTGCCCACGCCTAAACATTAAAATTTGTTAAACCTTGTGAAAGCATTGTATTGTGGGAAGGCCAGGATGGAGAAAGAGTAACTGTGTGAAGCCGTGTGCTAAGAACTAGAGACCTGGAAACTAGTTCTTGGTGGCAGGCAACGTTGTAAAGTGTAAACGAACACGAGGAGAGGTCGGAATAACGCATTTTTTCTTCAAGATCGAGTTGAAATTTCAAAATAAAGCGATGGATAAGCTTGATATGTCACTCGATGATATCATAAAGATAAACAAGAAGAACAGAGGTGGTTCAGGATCAAGAGGTCGCGGTAGAAATATGTCTAGAGGTGGACCGATAAGACGTGGCCGAACAAGAAACACACCATACTCGAGGGTAAATTAAAGATGTTTTTGAATGTATTTACTGTAATCTTTCGCTTTGATACATTTTTACTTCGCTACCTTAGTTTAAAAAGTCTCGGATTATGTGCAATGCTTGTTTGAAAATAGAAACGCGAAGCTTGATCAATCAAATTTTTACATCGCTTCGAAATAACTTTTCCATCGAGAACTATTTTATTTCTCGTTATAAATAGCTGACGATGAATATTTTATAGCGTCAGACAAACAAAGGAATTCAGCAGCATTTAGAAAATATCTCAGATTGAAAATACTTAAGAAATGTTATGTGATAACCTGGTGTAGATACAATAGTATAAATAGATTATAGAATAAGCGTTCTCTGGTGCTTTGACTTTTATTGTTTACAAGCGTTTGGCTACCAAACTACAGCCTTTGATGGGTGCTTGGTAAATGATAATTATGGAATTGTGAATGAACTGATGTATGTGATTGTCCCATGATTTTTTTAGCAAACTGGCGCTCGACAGTTACCATACAAATGGCAACATGATCTTTTTGATGGAAATGGTGGAGAGAGTAAGCGTCAGTCAGTAGCTGGTGGCTTATCTACAGGAACCAAACTTCACATCTCAAACTTAGATTTTGCCGTTTCAGAGACAGACATTCAAGTATGTCCTATGATTAATTATTTTTTCATGATTGGTTTAGTTTGTAGTTTTTAAACTCCAGTGCATTTTTAGGAACTTTTCAGCGAGTTTGGTAAGATGAAGCGATCGTGTGTTCATTATGATGCATCAGGCCGATCACATGGAACTGCGGAAGTTGTGTATCAGAATCGGAATGATGCTTTGAGTGCTATCAAACAGTATAATGGTGTACCTCTTGATGGTATGTTAAATTAAATGTGTAATGGTGATTGCACCAAAATTTATGAATGCTTGAGAGGAAGTTTACAGATTTGTTCACCCTCCTGGCCTTGGTTGATATGGTGCATGAGGGGGGCCAATTCCCTTACAAAACATTATTTTACCCAATAATTTAACACAAAAGCAATTACGATTTGTGTTTAATTGAGCATAGGTACATGAATTTACCAGTTTTGTCAGATATGATGTCGTAACATCCACAAAGTAGTACAGTAAAACCTGTGATTAGTAGCCCTTGCATATAGTGGCGGATTAATTCTCAGTTGACAGAAAGGGTGCAAATTTCTAAGGGAGTATATCATTATCCAAGCTAAAGGTTCCAGGGCTTTGGCTATTGCAGATTTGTAGGCATACAGACGAGTGAACCTTGCATAATGAAAGTATTATGTAACTTTTTACAGAATTTTTTTACAAAGTGAAGTAAATTATTATTCCTAGTTGTATAGCTGTACCATACTTCCTTATATAATCAACAAGCTTCATAATTATGCATCCAAATATTGCCAAGGAAAAGTAAAACATGACTACAACAGTTGCTTCCACACATGATCAACCAGGGGACAGGAAAAGATGTGGGAAACAGAGTTGACATGAGAAAGTAACAGGCTCCTTTGCATTTTGTAATTTATTGTAGTTTTAATGTTTCAATGAAAACACACATGATAGTAACTTAATTGCAAATGGTGGGAAAAGGGGGTGACTGCAAAACACAGGTTTCACTGTCGTACCAAAATTAAATCCAAACTAGAACATGCCTCTCTTACTTAATCATCCCAGATCCACCCCAGGGAGGAAGCATGGAAAAAATGATTTGGGGTCGATATATGTATTACATTCAAAATGCTCTTATGTTTCCACATTTTATCAAACAAAGTTTGTAGTATATGTCTTAAATGGGAGTTGAGTTCCCCCTCTCTTTTCCTGTGTCTGTCAATGATGTGTGGTTTTTACATTAGCTCTCTGTTCCAGTCCCAACATTTTATTGTGTTTAAATGAGTTCCTTTCTTGTTTTCAGGCCGACCAATGAAGATTGAAATAGTTGCAGATGTAAAAAATTCACAAATGCAACGTCCATTTTACAAGTACGTTTGTCTTTGCAGCAAATATGGCTGAGCATTTTGGTTTCACATGAGGTTCATAACATGTGTTACATGCAAATTTTACACATGTGGAATATTTTACACATGTCAATTATTTTACATGTGTGTAACTTTTGATTTTGGTTTCACATGAGGTTCATAATGAAAGTGTTATGTGCAAATTTTACACTTGTGAAATATTTTACATGTGTGTAACTGTTGATCTAAAACTGGACAACACCTTATCACATAATGCAAAATACACACAACTCTAGGGTGTCTTCTGGTTAATAACTCCATTATACCTGTTTAAGTAATGTTATTTTGTGGCATTTAAAGCTGATATGAATTTGTATGTTCAGTGAAAGACGTCAGACTGGTGGCGGTTTCCGTGGACGAAGAGGTTCTGGCGGTGGACGTAGAGGATTTGGAAGGGGTCGAGGTGGTGGAAACCGCAAAATGAAAACAGCAGAGGAGTTAGATGCAGAACTGGATGAGTACAATGCTAAGGTAATTTTTTATCACTGCTTAAAATGATGTTGTGCTCCTGTTTGGTTCCCCCAGCATATTGCTATGGTAATAGGGTGCAGAATATGGAATTTGGTTATTCAACTTATTTGTATTACTGAATGGTTATCTTATGGTACAAACATTCCTTTATTGCATTAAGCACAATTTTACCAACAGTCTCGTGTGTCTTGAAGGAAAGTCTGGAAATTTTGCTAATTTTTATAATCAACTTTATTTTGGTTGTGCGAGAGCGTTAAGTGGGAGGGGGATTCATGTTTGCAGGATATTGCCAATTAAGTTCTTTTGAACTTGATTGTTTTCAGTGGATTGTAGCATGCATTTATAAATATATGCTGCACCCCCTCCCCCCCAAAAAAAATTATCATGCTGGCGGTGCTCTTGTCAATGTGTTTTGGCAGACTCATTGAATCATCTGATAACAGTTCGCCCCCTGTAAACTAAATTGCCATTTAGAGTGGCTTTGACATGTGGCATTTTTTATGTTTCAGTAGATTTTTGGACTAATCATTGAATATTTCGCTTTAATTTTTAAAACACTATCAGTTATAACGAATAATGCAAGTTCTTTATATTGTCATTTACGTATTTCTACTTTATTTAATAATGAAATTCTGTTATTTTCCTTTTCAGGTTGATTCAGATCAATGGGACCTATAAAGAGATGTTTCTCTGATGGTTTTTTTTAATGATAAACATGTGGTACTTAGTCTTGAGCATCTACATCACTTCAGCTCTATTTACTGTGTTATTGTTATAATTCAATTTTACGTGAAGTCATGTTTGTTATTGAACACTTAAAAAGAATTTAACTTCCTCTGTAATCTTGACTATGTACTCCTTAGCATATATCACTGTTAACTCTGTGCTTGTGATAATTTGGTTGAAATCGTCATTTTTTTATATGACACTGCATTATTCTAAAAACATTGCCTTTGGATTCTTTTAGTCATGCATACTAACATAAAAAGTATTGATAGTTTTACTGATGGAAGAAGTTTGTAAATATGTCCTATGTATCTTGTGATGAAACAATAGAATTTTAGATTAAATCAGGTCAAGAGTGTCAATTATTTTTAAAGATTTTTGGATATGAAATCAATGCCATTTAATTTTAACTTAAAAAATTAGGCAATTAAAATAATCGTACCAAGTCTAAATACTAAATTCATTAATTTAAGTTAATTATTTCATCTTCCATGTTTGCTAATTGTCCATCGAAAATCTGGTCATCCATGGGTCATTTTAACACGGTAACGCCAACGCTTCTTGAGTGCTTTTCATTACTGAATTCGCCACTTTAAATTTCCTTGGTTGGCAAAAGAACTTGATTCGTTTTTGCTTGAACAAGGTAATTTATCAATAATTTTTTGTGTTTAATTAGTTAATTATTTACATCGAAATTAATATTGAACACGAACTAAGCCAAGTTCTACGGGCGGACGTCGAGTGTTTATGTTGTGGTCAAAAGATAATACCAGGATATACTAAATTCAAGTCTTTCAAAGCGAAGTATTAGCGAGCTGTTTGTCCCCTGTTGTTCTTTATCCTGTACAACAAGAACACAGAATATCTATCTTCAAAATGTGTAGTTGATAATTTTCGCTGTGTACTCAAAGTTACCAGAGCAAACGGAGTAAAGTGTAGTAACAACACTTTACAACACTTATTGGCTTCACTTGCACAACTACTTTATGGAACCATTTATTTAAAATGTAAAAGGCAAAGAGAGAGCAAACTCGGCAAATATAGCGAAATTTCATTTGCAATTTAATGTTTATTTTTTTGTTAGAAAATGGCGACGTTGACCCGTGTCCTTGTAGAAAACTACAAAGTTTTCTGCACCAAGCAAGAAGTCGACTTTCGCCAAGAACTAGCTTCTTCGACTAGCAATAAATATTTCACGCTTGTTGGTGAAAATGGTAGCGGGAAAAGTACATTTCTTGCTTTGATCGGACTTGCAAGTAATTTTGGAGGAAAAGTGACCAGTCATGCTTGCGACAAAACCAAAGCTTCAATGGTTGCCTGTGAGTATAAAGTAGAAAACTGGGCTGAAATCATGTCAACTTCTAAAGTCCCTGGTCAAAGTTATCCTGCTTTGCAAATATGGTTTATGGGTGGATTGCTTAAAATCCCACCAGACTTGCATGGGTTTCTTACAGAAAGGTATGTGGGCTTGAATGTAAAGGACGTCTTGCTTGTTATTGGTTTTAGAAGATCGGCTTATTCAGCAAGTAATTTTGAAGAAAATGTACATAGATTTTTGTACATACAGTTCAAGAACCATGTTTTAGCACTGATACATGGACTTGATTCAGAAGCAAAAATTTTAGTCAATGAACCTTCAGATGTTGTCAATTTACTGCACTGGCGTCCGGATGAGTCCAAACTTATTTCAACTGGTTGTCACTTTCTTCCTGATTTGAAAGAATCCAATAATAATCCAATTGAGTACCTGAATTTGAAACATCCACAAACTTCTTTAATTCTATCATTACGAAATGCACTTCCACTTGAGGCAAGGAGTACAATCTGGGCCAACATCATCGAGTTGTTTCATGAACTGACTGGTGACACAAAAATTACTGTTGTCCATGATGCTCAAAGCAATTTGATTCATGTAAGGCAGCAATATGGTGACTGTCACATAATTCGAGATGATTTACCTGAAGGCTTTTTTCATGCTTTCCTCATTGCTTTCTTGATTTTAAATCCTGCAAATAGCACTGTACTTTTGGATGAACCAACCCGTGGTATGCACCCTTTGCAGATTCGAAGGCTGCGAAGAATCCTATCCCAGAAATCTTTGCATGAAAATAAGGTGATAATTGTGGCCTCGCATGCACCAGATATGGTTCACACATCCGAGATTGATCACATTTTTAGATTTCAACAGTTAAGATCAGGGTTTGTTGAAATACGACAGACTTCTAGGTACCATGACAATAGAGACTTACGTTTTGTCAGCTCAGTTGAAAGCCGAGAGCTTTTTTTCACTCGCTCTGTCATCTGGGTTGAAGGTGATACGGATCAGCGTTTCTGTGAGACCATGTTGAAATTTATTGATGAGGGTAATCCAGTACTCTGGAGTACATTGCTAGATCCTAATGATTGTTTTTATGAATGCAGGATAATTAATAATACTAACTCAGCTGGTCTACCTATGGATGATGAGATTGAAGACAGTACAGATGAGATTGACTATGGTGCTATGGGAATCGATCCTTTAGAAAATTTGTTTCAATCAAGAGCATATGGAAGGAAATATTACACAAAAGAAGAACTTATGCAGTGCCAGGAGCTTGCGCGAAGTTGCAGTATTCTGCCTTTGTCTGGTTTGTTTATTTTTTTCCTTAATTACCTTTTAGTAAAGTACATAAGAAATGAATGTACTTGATCTCCTTATACTTATGTCATAGTGAGGATGGTACATAAGAAATGAATGTACTTGATCTCCTTATACTCAGTGTGCGAATTAACGGTGTGCAATGTGCAATTTGCACATCGTTTTAGCTAAAATGAAAACAATTGCACATCACTTTTTCAAACGATTTACAAAAATCAGCAGTTTTAACGAAAAACACAGTCGTAAATCATATGAATTTGTTCACGTTTAAGAATATTAATTTAGCAATTAGCGCTATATAATAATTAACGTAATATCGATTTGATTATGCCTATAAAGAAACACTTTGTCAAAAAAATTGCACATCGTTTTTTCTGAACTAATTCACACACTGCTTATACTTATGTGATAGTGAGGATGGTACATAAGAAATGAATGTACTTGATCTCCTTATACTTATGTGATAGTGAGGATGGTACATACAAAATGAATGTACTTGATCTCCTTATACTTATGTCATAGTGAGGATGGTACATAAGAAATCAATGTACTTGATCTCCTTATACTTATGTGATAGTGAGGATGGTACATACAAAATGAATGTACTTGACCTCTTTATACTTATGTCATAGTGAGGATGGTACATAAGAAATCAATGTACTTGATCTTCTTATACTTATGTCATAGTGAGGATGATACATAAGAAGTGAATGTACTTGATCTCCTTATACTTTTGTCATAGTGAGGATGGTACATAAGAAATGAATGTACTTCATCTCCTTATACTTATGTCATAGTGAGGATGGTACACAAGAAATCAATGTACTTGATCTCTTTATACTTATGTCATAGTGAGGATGGTACATAAGAAATCAATGTACTTGATCTCCTTATACTTATGTCATAGTGAAGATGACACATAATATACGTTTCTTGGGGGAGGGCAGGGAATTCCCCAGACTTTGTGGGGTAATTAGATGAACAATGAACACGTAGGCACTCGATATTAAAAATACACCCTGAATTGCCATTAGCTGGTATATGCCTAAGATAACAGCATATCATTGTACTTCATCTTGTGTTGAGGTTTAAGTTTTGCTTAATTTGAAAAAAAGTAATTGTTTATTTACTTTTTCACAGGTAAAAAGAATATGGACAAAGCAACGAAGATTTGCAAAGACCTTCGCATTCCATTCGCTGTCATTTGTGATTTGGACGCGGTTCTTCCAAACTCAAGGAAAAACAGTATTATGTCACAATTCCTGGGAAGTGTAGGAAATTGGAGTTTGGCTCCAGCCGACAAGAAACTTTTGTTTGACGGTGAACAGAGCCCGGCTTTCACCTGTCTTGAAGACACGAGTGCGCAAGAAGAGCTTCGAAAATGCCGCAATGCTCTGGACGTGATGGAGTTTTATGAAAAAAACGAGCGAATTTTTGCGTGGAGGGTTGGGAACGGTGAAATCGAAGATGTCGTCAAAGTAACGAAACCAAAGTTTTCAAAAAAGAGATGGGCCGATTTTACGGCTGAAAATTTTCAAGACCTTATGCAAATGATGTTGAGCCCCGCGTCATCTGGTTATCAAGGTAGTATGTTGTATACAACACAATGTAATCTCGAGTTACTTCGTTGTTTTAGATTCATTATTGAATTCTTGAACGAAAAACATTAGTTTAAAATCTTACTGACCAAGAGCGCAAAAGTAATTGTGTTTTTTTTGAAACAATTTATACACATGGGTGTATCAGAGAAATTAACACTTGAATATTCTTAACTACCCGCTTTGTTTTGCATCACGAAAGAATGTTTGGTCTTTGGATTTGGAGAAACTTGCAATCTTGACTTCAGGGTCTATCGAAAAAGGAAACCTTTTGAAAAGAAAAAATTGACCTGTTGTTGAAATTTCACTGCGTTCTTACTATGAAAATCCCATTAGTACATTTATGCATGTTTTGCTGTTAAAAGTTGTGTCAAATTCCCAGAATAAAAAGTTCAGTACTAGTGACAAAGACATGTATTGGGCTGACAATAGTTACACACTAAAATTATCAAAGTATGTCAATTTCTCAAGGTGACCTTTTTTGATACACGTTATATTTCACTTCTATTGTCGGATTAGAATATAATTTGAAGCATACTCCCAATGTTTCATATAGTTTGATGGTGAATTTGTAATAAATTCGAAATATAACTTTACAAATAAAATTTCTTGTTTCTTTCTCAAATATTGAGTTAAACATGAGTCTTTTATTCGGAGTATGCTTCAAATTATATTACTTAAAATTCTCGGCTGGTAGTCGATTTTTGTAGGATTAGAACCCATTTTAAAATTCCCAGAGGCGAATAATGTATTAACTTGTTCAAAAAACATCATACATTGTAGAATATTAAGCAGGTTCTTTTTCTATACACCATGTACACAGTATTGGGAATATGCAGTTGGTTCACTTCGTTTTAACTGGCTGCTGTATATTTAATTAAATAGATTACTGGCTGCCGCTATAGCGATTCCTTTATTTTTGGTTTGCAAGTACGTCATAGTCGCCATATTGGATGATTTTAGCAAAGGATTTTCCTTATTTACAATGCAAATTTCATCCAACATGGCGAGCATTGCATTGTACTTTTTCTCCCAGGGGGATGGTTGCAACCCACCCATAGTTGGCCACAGTTCCTAAAAATAATTTGGGAAAGCTTTTGAACAAAAAGAATGCGGAAACACTGAAACATATTCAACATATTTACAACATATTTATAAAACAATTATTGAATTCGGCTTTCGCTTGGTAACAAGAATTATTCAGACCTCGGTCCATGTTAACCGCCTCAGCTTTGCTTCGTAAGATAACATTGTTCTCGGTCTAAATAATTCTTGATAGCATGCTCAACCTCATCCAATAATTGTTTATTATAAGGCATTTAAAGTAAACGACGAAGTTTTTTAACATAACGTGTTTCGCTTTAACATCAAGCATTAGCTGCGGCGGGATTTTTTTTCATGGGGGGAGGGGGACAAAGATATCACTTATGTATATTACGTTCCGTTTTGTAAGGTTGACACAATTTACATATATAAAGAGCATAGTATGGCAGTCGCCCCAACCCCCTTGTTTGTGCCTCGGATATTAAGTCATGTTCGTATTTAAGGTTAAATGAAAAATTGAGCTGACTTAATTAATGTTAAGTCAAACATGCTTATGTTGAACAATTTTGTCGTTTACTTTCAACGCTTCATTAATCTTGTGTTAATGAGATCATGTGAAATAAATTTGTAAATCTTATTTGCTACCACAAGTGACGTGTACAAGAATCCCCCCCTCCCTTCCCCAATCTGATGAAGGGCTTTCCTTTTATAATAAATCCGGGTAGCCATTTGTAGAGGAGGGAGTTAGTAACAAGCTTTCAAAGGTGACTAAGCAGATAGTCTGTTACATGTAATTTTACCAATAAATGCAAACTAATTTCGTAAAGCAAACAGCAAAAGTTTTGTAAACCTCAAAATGCGAACAAAAAACCATGTGCGAATGTCAATCGGAGAAGAAACCTCTGAGAAGGAGTTGAATTTCAGACGATTCATTCTTACTGACAAAAACCAAAGAAGTGAAAGCCGAACCCTTGCTAAGAAAAAAACCATGACCAGCCGACAATTTAAAGAAGTATAATATAAAACAAATTCCGAAGAAGCAAGACATCTTGAGATTACAAGATATGAATCAAAACAAGACGAGAAGTAAACTGTAAATTTTCTACTTTATTTCAAAGTCATCCTCAGACAGAATATAAAGACATTCTGTCTGAGGATGACTTTGAAATAAAGACGAAAATTTACAGTTTACCTCTCGTCTTGTTTTGATTCATATTTTGCAATCTCAAGATGTCTTGCTAAGAAAAGCCGGGAAATAGAAGAGAACAAGCTCCGTTTCAGGTCGAATAATGTGAATAAACCTTTTATTAACCTCATTTTTTACTGAGAAATATCGAATCTCCGTCTTTCAGTACAAACACGTCGGTTCGAGATTTCTCGAAAAAAGAACTCGCGCTTGGTTAATATGGCCTGTGGTGTTATATTACAATTCGCAATCTTTTCTGGTCGTTATGGTAACGTAATAGCGTCAACAGTAACCAAAGCGTGTGGGGACGAAAAGCGTTTGCGATACGTTAATTGCAAAACATTAATCAAGGTATAAAATTCAAATTTCAAACAGAGGATTAATGGCAGCTTTTGTTGACACGTTTCAAAGCAATTGAGAGGTTATGCGGAAATTGAACATTTTGATGAATTGAAGTGAAGGAATTTTTTGAGAGAAGTAAACATCTTATGTGAAAGTTGTCGTGTCTGCAGGTTTTCAACACGATAGTCGCTCTTTTAGCTTTCAATTCTGAAGATATTGACCTTCGTTTTAACCGGGCAATCTGAAATTCGCTGTTCAAGCGTCGATCCAAGAATTTCGCCGATTTAAAGCGTTCTTTGTACGAAACGGTAGTTTTCGATCTATCAATTGAAATATTAAGTTCATCAAATTGTTGTAAAGGTTATTTTGCGGGTTATACTCTGGCATCTTTAAGTGTGTAACGAAGAAATATACGTAGCTTTGGAAACGACTTCGTTCTGTTGCCTTATAAATATAATCATCGACACAAGTTTGTAGGCGGATCAAATTCGGTTTTGTACGCTGATTCGGCTGTCTGGGCTATCATTTTGGGTCGAGAAACGTTCGTAATCGTATTTTATCGTGGAGCAATCGAAGGATGTGTAAATGATCTGTTTTCGTTGTCACTTTTAAGCTCTACGATTTGAAAGGCCATGTTGAAATGAAATTTGATAGTACGATTTTACTTTTAGTCGAATTATACGAATGAACACGAAATAGGGGAAACCATTTCGTAAGATAGATGTCTTCTCTTGTGACTCCTGTTGCTATGCACAGTCCTTGGATACAGATGACGCGGACAAACGCCAATTGGCCCGAGGGGTTCGGATTCCGCATTGGTGGAAATGCGCCCGTCATAGTAACAGATATATTTGAAAACTCTTATGCCCAAAAATCAGGCTTAAGACCTGGGGACCAACTACTCGAAGTGGATGGTGTTAATGTTCAAGGTGTCAGTAAAGAAAACGTTATAGCACTTGCAAGACAATCGAAGCACGTCCCCCCGGCCCTGTGCGTGATATCACGTATAAGGACCTTTACTTTACGTCGACGCGGGGGGACGTTTGGCTTTAAGGTGAGAGGTGGAGGTCCCGTTCTTGTGTCATACCTCGAGGAAGGTGGTCCCGCGAAGGTTGCGGGCATTGAACTTGGGGATATGCTTATCGAGCTCAATCATACTTCTGTGCGCGAAATGACTTATGTTGATGTCGAAAGAATGATCCAGACTTCTGGTAGTGTATTGCATTTGGTCTTAATTGCTGGGGTGAAATCTATCGCGGAGATTGAAAAGCGGAACACGGCTTCACGATTTCAAAGAGCCAGGGAGTTCTTTCACCAGGTACATTAATGTATAAATGTGAATCTTTAATAGGGATCGTGAGGATCGTATAAGGTCATTGGGATCTTAACCATCAAAGATTGCTTTATGTTTCATAAGCTGTATTCGCAGGCTTGCTCGTATAAGTTAACTGTGCTTCAAAAATACTTAAGCCAGCTTTACATTTGTCCTAAAAATCGTTTGAATGGGTGGTTTTGACGCCTTACAAGTTGACACATTCCTAACATAGAGCAATGGTGCAAATTGAAAGAATTTATACATATGTAGATTCCCCCTAGCCAGCACGCAAGTGTGGTCATTCAATGTGATTTTCAGAACATTGGCATTATTTATTTATTTAGAAATCTTCTATTTTTACTGTGAGTGAACCCTAAAAAATCTAAATAGCATGAACAGACTTGCATGCTGGCTATTTCACTGTCCCCGATATCAGATATAGCGTGGAACGGTGTTTACATGATGTTCACACTTGTAATATGGGAGTCTAATAATCGCCGATGCTGGTGCAGCCAATCATTTTTGGGAGGGAAGGAGGCTGCAACCAATCATTATTGTGAGGGAGGGAGGCTGCGCCAATCATTGGGAGGAAGTGAGGGACGCTGCACCCTGATTGGCTGACGATAATTTTTTCGATTTTATTCGATTTGTAGATGAATTATTACTTGGCTGGAGAGGAGAAGAAAAAATCTCAATTAGTAAAAGAACTGAACAGGTTTGCCAAAAATAAATCTGTGGAAACGCTAGCGCATGGAATCAAGTTGATCTTGGAAACTCCTGTGCAAAAACGACTCATCCCAAGTATAAGGTAATGTTTTACATGGATTTTAAGAAACTCCTGTGTAAAAACGACTCATCCCAAGTATAAGGTTATGTTTTACATGGATTTTAAAAAACTCCCGTGCAAAAATGACTGATCCCAAGTATAAGGTAATGTTTTACATGGATTTTAAAAAACTCCCGTGCAAAAACGACTCATCCCAAGTATAAGGTAATGTTTTACATGGATTTTAAAAAACTCTCGTGCAAAAACGATTCATCCCAAGTATAAGGTAATGTTTTACATGGATTTTAAAAAACTCCCGTGCAAAAATGACTCATCCCAAGTATAAGGTAATGTTTTACATGGATTTTAAAAAACTCCTGTGCAAAACGACTCATCCCAAGTATAAGGTAATGTTTTACATGGATTTTAAAACTCCTGTGTAAAACGACTCATCCAAGTATAAGGTAATGTTTTACATGGATTTTAAAAAACTCCTGTGCAAAACGACTCATCCCAAGTATAAGGTAATGTTTTACATGGATTGTAAAAAACTCCTGTGCAAAAACGACTCATCCCAAGTATAAGGTAATGTTTTACATGGATTTTAAAAAACTCCTGTGCAAAAACGACTCATCCCAAGTATAAGGTAATGTTTTACATGGATTTTAAAAAACTCCCGTGCAAAAATGACTCATCGCTCTCGATTTCCATGATGCGATAGTTGATTCGGGCTTCAGTCTCATCGACTATCACCTCAGGAAAGGGAAATCTCAAGCTCGTAATCCAATTGTTAAACAGAAACTATACAATTACAAATATCAATCAAGTGTGAAATTTCCAACTTGCTTATGTCTGTAATCTTTCTTTAGGCAACTCATACCACGTGATCAACGAAACATTTTCCGAGAAATTTTGCAAGGCGATCATGGTACACCAAGTATTGTACGCAGTGCATCCTTTGAAGGCAACTTGAATCGTTTTACTGAAAACAAGTTTCCCGACAGAATGGCTTTGAAATTCAGGTTTGCAGATGTAATTTCAATTTTTCAGTATGGTGAACGACACTAACGAAGCTGTATATAATTTTTTTGGGTTGAAGGTTCAGCATTTGGTGCATGAGACGAAAGCAGTTTTTTTATTTTAGATCCTTTTCTAAGGGAAATCTATTACCGGCAAAAACAACCTCGTCGACCTTGCCCCGGGGAAATACCCCAGCGCATCGCAGGAGCAACACGACACCTTCCACGATTCTGTCTCGGAGCTCATCGGAATCGACACCTTCCGGTGGAACCAATAGATGGGTGCAAAATTTAGCGGAAACTTTAAAATTTCAGGTTTGATGTCGAAGCTCTTCATCTTTAGAGTGATTATTTTTTCTTTGAGTATGGTTGACATTTTTTGAAATCATTGTCAGATGAACAAGTACTTGACTCGAGGGGAACAATTGGTCTTGAAGCAGAGGTTGAAAGAATACCAGAAACACAGGTAGATATACGCCTGATATACGATTTTGTTATATCAATATATGTACCCCAGTGTACTGTAATATCAACTCGAACGCAAACAACGCCACCATCTTTGAACCCAACACTTATACTAGTTTTTCTGCGATTTTACAAGTTTCATAACATTATTTCGCTAACAACGCCACCATCTTTGAAGCCAACACTAGTTTTTCTGCCTCTTTACAAGTTTCATGACATTATTTTGCTGACAACGCCACCATCATTGAAGGCAACACTAGTTTTTCTGCGTTTTTACAAGTTTCATGACATTATTTTGCTGACAACGCCACCATCTTTAAAGCCAACACTAGTTTTTCTGCCTCTTTACAAGTTTCATGACATTATTTTAAAAAATCAACTACAATGTACATAAAATACAGTAGCACAAATTGTCATGAAAAAAATTTACCACTCAAGATTTGGTAACAAACCTAAAAACTCAGTTATAAATACATCGTAAAGGGCTTCAAAATGGCGTGTAGAAGTTGCGTTAGAGTTAGCGTTCCAGTTTATATCAAAGTCCACTGACCTACCTGCTCACAACCTAATTTACCCATCTACGGTTAATATTCTATAGAATCAACAGTGACGTAGCAAAATCGTTGTTTGGGTGGAGGGGACACATATTCATAAATTCTTTTTCTGCCATACATAATTCCTTTGAAATCTTTATTTTCTACCCATTAAAGTATGAATGCATGAGTCCCCAATTTACGAGTTTGCTATGCCCCTGAGAATAAATTTTGTAAGACATTTTTCCAATGTTTGTTCAATTGAAATTATTTCATATATTGCCACCTTTAACGTTATGTTTGAGAAGACATAATGTTAAAAGTAGCAATAAATGCTAACAGCTCTGAGAAGACTTCGAATTTAACATGCATCAACATGGGGGTGACCTTGTTTTTGATTTTTTTTGGGGGTGTTTGTTGTGAGCCAAGTCTGAACTTTACTTCATTCTCTCATAACATAACCATGTAACAACAATTTGCTCCAATTGCTACTTCCAGATTGTTTACAGATCAGTGACTGTGAATATTTTCTTCATTAATGTTTTACAGAGATGTTTCATTGCTCGTTACGTCACTGGAGCCCATTCTTGACGAGCGAGAAAAATTGCAGGTGGTGCCGTATCTTAGCGAAATCCTTCCCGAAAACGTACAGAGCGCATTCGATAAAGAGGCACGAAAATTGATGTTGAAATATGTTCAAGGTTTGCAAAACATGTAGTTTTTGTTGTTAGACTGACACCTTCTGTCGAAACAAAGTTAAATTAATTCCATACATTTCATATCATTGATCTTGATACTTAGAGTGGATTGGACAAAGCTCCTACCACAGTATGATAACATACTTCGAGGTATTTCTCGACTGTGATTGGTTGATTCTAGTGCAGCTGTAAATACTGTAACCTGATTGGCTAAAAAGCAGTGAAAGCCATTAAGCTTCTTTTTAATTCAAATTAAAAACATGGTGGACAACGAGGTTTTCTAAAGCAGGACAGAAATAGACGGCGTTTTGCGAAATATTTCAGAGTATACTTTTAGAAAATATAGTTTCATGTGCAGTTACGACAAAAGTTTCATGAACTCGTAATTTTTGTAAGACTGCTCGTCCTTCAGACTTAGGTTATTTCGTTGCGGTGGCTCAAAAACTCACTCGGGCTTGTTTTTCCGTTTCTCCACTCTAAACTATATTTTTTCCTTTATTCATTGGCTGCGCTTAACTTGCTAGCGTTCTCATTCATCAGAATGTACTAATGACTGGTTCTCACGATTACAATCATGAACGTAATAACGCCTCATAGTTCATACAAAAAAATTCCACGGTTCGTTCCATTTTTACTATGCTTTTTTCGCTTCCTGCGAACAGTTTTATGCTATTTATACTGTTTATCGATTTCATGTGGAAATAAACTTAACGCTGAAGCTCTTTTTCTTCATTAAAGATTTATCGTCTGAAGGTCCTGACGTCATCGATGTCGCTTACAGAGTGCAAGGTTTGCGATTAGCTGATTCACCTCATTCAAAGAATTTGATTGGTGGATCTGCACGAGGTAAGAAGTACTGAAGTACATGCACGATGGGTTTTTTTCATTGCATCATCACTGCCACCATCATCAGCTCAACCACCACAATAACCACTACAACAACCACCACCACAACAACCACTACAACAACCGCCATCACAACAACAAAAACCGCCACCACAACAACAACCATCGCAACCACCAATACTAGCTACCATCTTCACCATTACTACTACCACCACCAATACTACAAACACCACCAGTACTACTTACACCACCAATACTACAAACACCACCATTATTACTATCACCACCATTACTACTAACACCACCAATACTACGAACACCACCAATACTACAAACACCACCAATACTACAAACACCACCACCAATACTACAACACCACCAGTACTACTTACACCACCAATACTACAAACACCACCACCAATACTACAAACACCACCAGTATTACTACCACCACCAATACTACAAACACCACCATTATTACTATCACCACCATTACTACTAACATCACCAATACTACGAACACCACCATTATTACTAACATCACCAATACTACAAACACCACCAGTACTAACACCACCAATACTACAAACACCACCATTATTACTACCACCACCACTACTACAAACACCACCAATACTACTAACACCACCAGTACTACTAACACCACCAATACTACAAACACCACCATTACCACTAACACCACCAATACTACTAACACCATTTTTACCACCACCAAGGCCCCCACTTTTTCTTGGATTATCATAATTGTGATATTCTATCTTAAATAGATGACTTGGAAGTGTATCCAATGCAAGACAGACCAAACAGCCCGAGAACAAATGAAAGTAAGATGAACTAAAGTAAAAGTTTTGTGCTATGAAATGTATAATTGAAACATTAGTATGATGTCTCATCTTGATACGTTTTTACCAACAAAAATTAAAGAAATAACAATCAGCAGAATTTATCAACCGATATTTTTGATTTACGGCAAAGCCGCAAAATGCAGCTGAACAGCAGCCTGTTGCGAAGCAATTAAGTGCATAAAGTGAATGGTTTGAACCCAGGAGTATCTTTACATGTTTGTCGATGTAGATCGTTCAGGTTGGTACTGATCTAAGAAAGTTTGTTGGTTTCGTCACTAATTGACGTTTCGACAACCTTAGCTGTAGTCATCAAAGGGTCAAGTCGGGAATAAAAGTCAGGTTCGTAATTGCTATTTACTCCTCACTTGACTCTGAAGATGGCAACTGCTAAGGTTGTCATGAAGTCGGGAATAAAAGTCAGGTTCGTAATTGCTATTTACTCCTCACTTGACTCTGAAGATGGCAACTGCTAAGGTTGTCATGAAGTCGGGAATAAAAGTCAGGTTCGTAATTGCTATTTACTCCTCACTTGACTCTGAAGATGGCAACTGCTAAGGTTGTCATGAAGTCGGGGATAAAAGTCAGGTTCGTAATTGCTATTTACTCCTCACTTGACTCTGAAGATGGCAACTGCTAAGGTTGTCATGAAGTCGGGGATAAAAGTCAGGTTCGTAATTGCTATTTACTCCACACTTGACTCTGAAGATGGCAACTGCTAAGGTTGTCATGAAATCGGGGATAAAAGTCAGGTTCGTAATTGCTATTTACTCCTCACTTGACTCTGAAGATGGCAACTGCTAAGGTTGTCAACAAGTCAATCAACACCAAGAACAACAGTTCTAGTCAGAACTCTACTAACCTGGACGAGCTACATCTACAAACATGAAATTAAGAACTTAGTTTCACTTTAGAATTTTTTCGTGATCACTCACTGGAAAAACAAAAGATGTGTAAAGAAATAAGTAATGATGATGCTATGAAATTAGTACAGCAGAACTAAACGCGCGGGCTTGCTACATTAAAGATAATTTCCAACAATTTTTACAATTCTTTTAAATATATTCGAAAAACTCGTTGAATAAAACGTAAATGAAATTAGTTTTAATTTTTGTACAGCTTCAACTGTAGCAGCTTTGCTCACCGCTGCTGAGAATACGAATGTTCCCATCATCCCAGGAAAAACCATCACTGTCGAAGCTATGATACATTCGGTACGTACCACTGAATGAAATTTGTAATTGAAACGATATGATTGTACTTTCATGAACTCGTTCTGCATTTTATCTTGCTGAAGTAATAACCTCTTATTTGGCCGTGCGTAAAAAGATTGGAACTAGTTGAGTTGACATGCTGGCTTTAAATTGTGGCTGGAAAAATTGCCTTCCGGTTGTATTTAGTTCAATTGCACAAACCTAGGGTCAACTCAGTGTCGTCCTCAGGAGGGAGATGTGCCCGTTAGTTGTTGTCAAGATTCGTTCTATAGTTTTTCGAATGAAAAAAGTGTGCAAGGATTAAAATTTTAAACAGTTACATAAACAGTTGCTTTCTTTGAACAGTGTAGGCCTTTGGCCATTGCGATTTCAACTTAATAAACAAACTACATTCGAGCGTCGATGTCCGATAAACGTTTCAAAAATGTGATTTATATCAGCATAAAAAAAGAATGTCAGTGATAGGATTGAGTTGAATACTCCAGTTGACACATTTATATTTAGATCAAGGTCAAAAAAATTCTTTTTTTTCAAACAAAGCAGAAATCAAAGTTTTAAATCTCTGAATAAACGTTTCTGCCATAAATGGCGCTGTTAATTCGACTGAGAATCTTTTTTCGGTGGTTTTCAATAAAATGTTGGTGTTGGATCACTGTGAAAACAAAAGATTTCTAAAGAAATGAATAAGGCAAATGATAACGCCATTGTTATCGTCCATGTCAAATGTTCACTTTATTAAAGTTCAAATTATTTTTTCATGTCATCGTTCTCTCATCGTGTCCCTTTATAAAAAAACAGGAGAAAAAAGAGCCTTTCATTGGGAGATTGAACAATCGACATGATTCCTTATCGTCACCAGGCCCCATGAACACAGGACTCATAAACTCAGCTGAAGGTACAGATGGGCCAGTGGTTGATATTAAACCCATCGTGGTGTTCAGCGGTGACGCAAATCTCCCACAACCATCTGAAGAAAAAGGTAAAAATATCCTTTAGGAAATATTGGTCTAGCCTATAACACGCGTGTTGCTTATCTTTATAGGTGAAATAAGACCACGCGTCATCCATAAAGACTTGGATTCGGCTGTCGAAGAGAAGAAAAAACATTTAGCAAAAAAAGGTCTCGAATGAATTTTCACTCTATTTCAAGAATGGAAAATGTCCGGTTATTGATTGTGTGTGAAGTTTTTTTGTCTACATAACATTCTTTTTGTTTTTAACATAAGTTAATTGACTTAATTCGGTAATTACTTTTGTATACTCCAGAGCAAAATGTAGTCCCAACTCCCCCCGTTCCACCAAGTAGTGGACTCGTTCCCATTGCGCCTCCCCCACCTCCGCCACCTCCACCACCACCAGGGTTGAGTCCACACGGCAACAATACCTTGCCCAAGATGCAGTTAAAGAGGGTGAATTGGGAGAAATTAGGGGTAGCAGGCTTGGAGAATACCGTATGGGGACAGGTTAGTACAATGTGCTACTCGCGTACTATTTATTTCTGTTTGATTTTTGTCGAAATTTTTGAAATTAAAAGAGTATGTATAGTCACACTACAACTCTCTTTTATGTGTGTGGATGTAGATCGTCCAGGTTAGTAGAGTCCTGAGAAGGACTGTTGGTATTAGTGTTGATTTTTTTTTACTCTGAAGAGGACTACCCCTAATGTTGTCGAAACGTCAGTCAAAATCAATACCAACAGTCCTTTTCAGGACTCTACTAACATGGACGATTTACAGCCACAAACATGTTAAGATACTCCTGGGTTCAATTCATTTACTTTAAGATTGCCTTCTATTGTCAAATAATTTTCAACAGCATATTAAGCAATTTTTATCTTCAGCTGGATAAGACTTTCTGTGTGTTTTTAGTTTCTCTCAACTTTCTGTGTGTTTTTAGCTCGGTCGTAATGATCCTTTGAATGAACTGGAAGATTTTTTGGAACTAGAACAGCAGTTCAGTTCTGCTAAGCAGAGTAAAGGTTGTAAACTTTTCACACTTGAAAACATCTGTCACTCATAGCATTATAACGTACGATGCTTACTTGTGTTTTGTAGTCCCGTTGAAGTCAACGAAACAAGAAAAAATCGAAATTTTGGACCCGCGGAAGCAATACAATATAGGTAAAGTAATAAAACATCGTTTTATCGTCTTCTGTTGAAGTGATTCTGACGACAAATTTTGTCATTCAGCCGGTTTTCGATTGAAATGCGAAAAACATTTAATGTGACTTTATAAGTCTATTTTTTGCTCAAATTATGTAATTTTACTTCCTTCTAAAGATATTTTAATTTGCTCTTATTGCAAATAAAGTGGATTATAACATCACAATGCGTAATTAGATTTTGGCAAGAGTAGTTTTCGTCGACAGTTGATCTTGTTCTATAAAATATAAGCTACACATGTGTATTATGAATTGTTTCACTTGTGAATACAATGTTTTGAACATGTTCAAAAGTAATTCTCTGTAAGATGTTATGATGCAATGTAATGTTATAGTTAAGCTACATCTCTACATTGTGTATAAAAAAAATAAAGATCTTCAGAATTGACGTGTAGTGATAATTTCAACGACACATGTAACACTTGTCGAAACGTTTCGAATACATAATGATTACTTTGTACGGAGTGTCAATTGTTTTGAGTTTTAGTAAATTTCTAAAGATCTTCTTTCTTGATGCACGATTTATAAACTCTAGTTACGGTGAAATTTTTAGTTCCTCTGGTGTAACTGCATGTGTTATGTTGATCGTATTTTCTAGCAATTCTATTGGCTCATCTTAAACTGCCTCATGACGAAATTAGAAGAGCCGTTCTATCTATGGACGAGACCAAACTGAGCGAAGCTCACGTTAAACAGCTGCTTCTGTACGCTCCAGATCATAAAGAGGTCAGTTAAGAACACATAAAACTGTACTGACCAGACACAGTTTGTGTTGAGTTTAAGGGAATCGCCAACTCGGTAAGGGGGGGGGGGAGGGGAGATATTCATATATGCATACTATAATCCCTACAAAATAAGTGATTTCAAACGAACTATATACGGTGAAACATACATCTATGAATACAACCATTAGATGGTGGGGCTACTGTGGTGCTCATTAGATGCTGTGCTATTGTGGTTCTCATTAAATGGTGGTGCTTGTAGATAGTGGTGCTCATTAGATGGTGGTGCCTATTAGATAGTGGTGCTTATTAGATGGTGGTGCTCATAAGAAGGTAGGCTCATTAGATGTTGGTGCTCATTAGATGGTGGTGCTCATTAGATGGTGGTGCTCATTAGATGGTGGTGCTTATTGGAGCTCAGTGAAGAGTAGTGAATATTAGAGGTTGGGGCTTATTGGATGATATATTGACTAATAATGATAAATGATGTTATGGAGTTTCCCTTGAAAAGCATCAATTAATTTTCTTCATTATAATGGTATCATCTTTGTCTATGATTACAAACCAGTTCTCAATTTTAGTCCCCACGTAGGTAAATATCATCCATAGTACTCGATATAGTCTTTCATACCACGTCTTTATTACAGTCTCCACGTAGTGAAATATCATGAACACTACTCCATATAATCATTCTCTCTGATAGCAGACCACTTTCCAATTGTACCCCCCCCCTGGAGTTGCATATGAGGCATTAGTTTTGATTTAACTGCTCAGTTGACATAAAAACCTGTTTATCAAGAAAGGCCATTTTTTTACCTCTCTATGTAACATGGTCTATTCCATTGTAGATTCACAAATACAAGAGTTTTGGCGACGACGAGACGAAGCTAAGTCAAAGTGACAAGTTTTCGATGATGGTTTGTATTGATAGTTTTGTCATGTTATCAAACTATACTAGCACAAACTAAGCAAACATAACCAGAGCGTTCCAATTTAAAAGTAGAGTTTAGCAGGAAAGACTGTATTACGGTTCCTATGAAAATCTATTTCTTTTCCATGTGATGGGAAACTGCTGCCAGCGGTATTTTTATATGTTTTCTCCATATATATTTAGGTCAGCAAAATACCTGGCTACAGACATCGGCTAAAGGCAATGGTTTTCAAGTCGCATTTTTTCGACAAGTTGGAAGAAATCAAACCGGTAATTATCTTGTCCTTTAGTGATAAAACACATTTCAACTATTGACAACATTGCCCTTGCCTGTGCACTTGTTAAGCTATTAAATCATAAATTGCCTGACACAGCAAACCTCCACATAAACGAAGTATTCATTTTTGAACTTTCGACTAAGGGGCTGTTCACATGAGCCCGCGTTAACTGCGATTCAGCGAAGTGTTAAATCATTTTGGCAAATGGAAAAGAATAAATACTTCACAATAAAAACTTTTTTAAGCAATTTCTCTATGCTCCAACTTTGTAAATTCACAAAACCTTTAAAAATGAAAACAAATAATTTAGCCTGATTTGAAAGTTACAACTAAAATTACTTATAACGCTTAAGAAAGGTTGTAGGTTTTGCGCTTGAAGGTCTCTTGACTCCTTTCAATGACTCCAAATCATTTAACGCTTCACTGAATCCGGCTACCGGGCTCATGGGAACACCCCCTGAATCGTGCTTTTTTTGGCTTTTTTCATATTTTTTTCTTTGTTTTTGAGAAGTCAAGTGTGGACTGACCTGTGTTTACAAACATTGAATTTGAATTTCGAGAGAGTTCCAGTGGTGAAAAATATTTTTGATTTAGCCAATCAGATTTCAGTAATTTCACCACATTTGTGTAAAACAATATATAAATGAAAAACTTGCATCTGTTGACATGAATTAGTTCTTACATAATTTCTACATTTTTGTCTTGTCGCCAATCTTTTGCGCAGGAACTCTTTTTTTTGACGTAACGAATGATCAACATTGATGTCGGAAGAACTGTTCTTTTTGTTTACAGGAATTAGACTGTGTTATTTTAGCTTCGCGAGAACTCAGGGAGAGCAAGAAATTGCAGCAAGTTCTTCAAGTAAGATTTACAATAAATTTCCTTTAAGACCGAGAAATTCAAAATTAATGTTTTGCTTTTTGCCCGTGATGCAGCTTGTTCTGGCATTTGGAAATCACATGAATCAAGGGAATGCTAGAATCGCGGGCGCGTCTGCTTTCCGAGTGGGATATTTATCAAAGGTAAGCTTCCATAATTAAGAAATAAAAGATGTTTACTGTGTTTGCACAGGCTTGTGCAAAACTGAGGAGATCTTTGGGAGAACTCGAGAGCAGATCAGTGCAAGCCCGAGACCGAAGGTCGAGGGTTGCACATGCTTGAGAGTAACCATCCTCGCTATGACATAAATATAAGGAGATCAAGTACATTGATTTCTTATGTACCATCCTCACTATGACATAATTATAAGCAGATCAAGTACATTGATTTCTTATGTACCATCTTCACTATGACATAAGTATAAGGAGACTAGCCACATTGATTTCTTATGTACCATCCTCACTATGACATAAGTATAAGGAGATCAAGTACATTGATTTCTTATGTACCATCCTCACTATGACATAAGTATAAGGAGATCAAGTACATTGATTTCTTATGTACCATCCTCACTATGACGTACATAAATATAAGGAGATCAAGTACATTGATTTCTTATGTACCATCCTCACTATGACGTACATAAATATAAGCAGATCAAGTACATTGATTTCTTATGTACCATCCTCACTATGACGTACATAAATATAAGCAGATCAAGTACATTGATTTCTTATGTACCATCCTCACTATGACATAAGTATAAGGAGATCAAGTACATTGATTTCTTATGTACCATCCTCACTATGACATAAATATAAGGAGATCAAGTACATTGATTTCTTATGTACCATCCTCACTATGACATAAGTATAAGTTTTCTCCAAATTTTTCATTCAAGCTTTCTAGCACGAAGACATCCGACAACAAATCAAACTTGTTAAAGTTTCTTGTAAAGACAGTGGATACCAAATGTCCCCATGTTCTTGATTTAAAAAATGAGTTGGCATCGATTCCTCTAGCTGCCAGAGGTACATCTGGTGTACTAATGTATCTATTACTGAGGGAGGATTGAGTTGGATTGAGATGGGTAAAATAGCTTGGGAGGTTATATGGGATACATTTATTAGTATGCATTGACTGAGTTGAGATTAAATAGGGGCTGATTTAGGGGAGGGATTGAGCAGGGTTTGAATAGGAATTGTGATGGATTTATCACAGTGCCTGAATTGAGTCGGATTCCTTGGAAAAGATTCAAGTGCAAAGACTGTGTTGGGTTTATTGGGGGATCAATTGGGATAGATTAGTTAAACGGCATTAAGTGACATATGTTTGAGTAGGACTTGGTTAGGATACATATATACAAATAATCTCAACAGATATTGTCAACATCAGCTGTAACAGCACATTGTTGTTTTTTTTAAAAAATATTTTTTACAGTTTCTTATCAAATGGTTAAGGAAGAAATAGATGATGTTACAAAGAGCATGATGGTAAGTTTTTATAATTTTATGATAGATTACATTGTATATGTTGATAAGTGTGTGAACGTCTTGAGTTGTTTCAGTAGATCTAATAATTCACGTACGCAAAGAACTTTGGGAATTTCTGTAGCCATGGATACTATATAATTGAAGTATTAATGCCAACTCGCAACATGAGGATATGATCGATCTATAATGTGTTTAAATGTAGCCAAATCTCAACTCAATCGTTTTCGCGATGAACTATAGTATGACACACCACGACATTCGTATAAATGTTAAGTATCGTGTTTGTATTTAATGGGCAGGATGTGAAGAAAGATCTGGAGGAGCATGGTAGCCAAATACCTGATAATAACGAGGACAAATTCGCGAAAATCATGGGCGTATCTTTTAAACTGAATATTTCTATACCTAGTACTTGCAAACTCCAATTAAGGCCCGATTATAGCTATATGATGACCTCAAGGTGGCTTGGCGGGCTTAGATATTTTACTATTTAAACACTGCAAGATCTCTTTTGCCGCACCCGTCTGATCTTCAAGTAAACGCCCTAATTGGCAACTAAACGAGAAACTTCGCTTAAATTTTCTGCCTTCTTTCATCTTGATGTCATTTTTATAATCATACTGCAGACGGAAACGGTTAAAAGACTGTCCTTGTTCATCGAAAGAGACCATGAAAGAGACCTCTCTTGTTGATACAAGGCGATGCAACAGAAATAGTGAACGAAACACATCGCCCTTGTTTGTAGTGAATAGGATATAACATATGAGAGTTATCTAAAGGATAGTTTCTTTTCTTTCCTGCAATTCATAGGACATTATTGAGTTAGTGTTATATTGAAGGAATTATAGAAGTACGTGGTTGCTCAGAATGACCTATCCCTTCCAAAAATCTGTCTACTGCTTGACTTGTCATATGACATGTTTTCATAGCTGCATGCACTAGTTGAACAAGAAATAAAACCAATTCAGATTATTGAGATCTAGTTTTCTTGATACTCAAAGTGAAAACAGAGCTGATAATATTTTGTATTTAGTCTTAAATGAGGATAATTGGTCTCACGATGTCTTTGAAATAAAGAAGAAATATTACATACTTTGTTTTAAAATTCTTGTTTTTCACTTGAATATCAAGAAAACAAGATGTTAATATGAGGAATATGTTTTACTTTATGTTAAGCAATCTAGCTGTAGTCCTCGATATTAAATTACTCTTTTCACCAGAGATTTGAAATTTTTCCATTGTGAATAGGGCTATTTTGTACGAACGCTTTTCTTAACTCAGTTTAACTGCAGTCATTTGTCGAGAATTCAAAAACAAGCATGGCAAATTTGACCAGCCTTCACGACCAAATGCTGGCGGAGTACACAAAGACTGCAAAATATTTTGGCGAAGATCCAATGATGACGTCAACGGAGGAATTTTTTGGAACATTCTCGACTTTCCTTGATCAATTCGAGGTATGCTTCGTCTTTTCTTGATTTGTTTTATCAATGTTGTATGTTTACACTATTGTGGTAAAAGCTTACGTTAAAGCTGCGATTTTTCATTTGTGCATAGCTTCAAATAAAAAGCTATAAGGCTCGCGTACGCTTTCATATTTCAAAGTTTAGCGTGCGTCACGTTAACTATTGCCGATCGCGAGGAACTTAAATCATAAATTGGCGGACATGGGGAATGATATTTCCAACATCAAGGTTAAATTATATATTTTTTCGTATGATACGCTTAGAAATTATTAACTTTGTGCATAATTGTTATTCTTACGTTTAGAAATTATTTATTGTGATATATGCGTACAGTAATGGAAATTTTTTCTAACTCGATCGAACGATTTTCATTAGTCCAACCTTATGCATAATGTTGCATAATTTAAACACCAAAGTAGCATAACATACAGTAATAAACATAGATCAGTGTCGAGCTTTGGATTGTGTTATTTTTTATTACTTAGAATGATTCGGTGATGATCACCAAGGTACAACAAGCTACACATTAGGTTTTCTCAGTTCTTATGATATTTCAAATACAACTCTCTTAAATGCTTACTCCAAAATAAATTAACAGAAATTATCTTATGCTAGTAGTATTACGAACATAAATTAAAATAAATTATCTTGTGCAACTATTTACAAGGGCAACGATCGTGTCGCCTGTTCAAAAGTGGGGCGGGAGGTGGGGTAGAATAGCACATGGACATACTCTATATGTGAGACGTGAAATTTCACGCAGTAAATTCCTCGTCTGTGCTTCCCACCAAGCTTTGCGGTCCCTGCAACGTTAACATTCTAGACATATAAAAAACACGTGACTCTAGACAGTAGTACAATAACAAGCACAATCACTGAATAAAACACGATAGTCTGTAAACACTACAATCTGCCATTGAACTTTGAATGAAATCGAGCGAAGAAAAGTAACGGATCACGTGATCTTCTAATCCCTATGACGTATAACATGTACACGCCAGGCGAAGCACTCAGTCAACATGTTTAGGAAGCGCTTATTCAAGGTAGCGATTTTTGGCCTTTTTCGGCCAAAAAAATGCTCGAACGTCGACTTTTTTTGAAATCCATTTGGCCGTGAAAGTAATCTTTAAGCAGATCAAAGTGATTTCGACCTTTTTTGGCCTTTTAAAGTATCAGCACGATTGCCTCTTGTGGCCAATACCAACCTTGTCATTATTTCGCTTTCTTGTTGTATATTGAGAGAAAGTAATTTAAGCATTCATTTCACTTTCGCCGAATTTAGCGATCAGCTTTACCGATCACGTCGAATAGGACATGACAAACCTGGCGTTTTTTTTGTCGAACGCAAAAAGCAACTGATGTAATGTTGCAATTATAGGTCGTGATATTTCAGATGGAACTTGAGCAAAAAACGTCACAATTTGAAAGCGGCTTTGTTCGAAAACAATTTCGAAATTTCTTTAGCAACCATTTTTAGTATTTTACTTATAAAATGTTTCGCTTTCATTCAATGAAACTGCTGGATGAAGCGGTTTCCAGTTATAGATTATGATAATTTTGCTGTACAAAAATCAGTGTTGTGAGACATAATAATTCTGATCAAGCACACGACATCTTGAGGAAACTATAAACATCATTAGCAAACGCAGCGTGACGTTTATCACTACTAGGACGTGGCAATGGCGTGGTATTGCATAATCCAGGACGTCGTTTTCACCGAGAATGATTTGAGTGCACGAAAATTTGACATCGTGTTTGTTTCGTTATTTTTTACATTTTTTTTTTCTTGGTGAAATATGTCCGACGTCTTAGGAGTATAAAAGAACGTTAAAAAACTAAATTGTTGCTCCACAACATGACGGTGATTTCATTGATTTGAAGATTTTCTTTCGATTAAAGTCGATTAAATTCCGACACACTATTTAAAGCTGCAGCTCGCAACATTTGTATTTCGTTGACTTAAAGTCTATTAGAAATCGATCACTCGTGTCCTCGTAAAAGGTTCAACTTTTCCACACAAAGAACAACGACATTTAAGATTAAAAATAGAACTTCGCGTCATTCCCTCCCCGTGTTGAATGTGCCTATACCCTCGAGCTGTTGGCATCTTCGAGCAAGATCTCCTCAATATTCAGTCATCATGCGTTTACAACAGCTGCCCATAGTATGATTCAAAACAAGTAGCGAGTTATAGGTGTTGAATTTTTCTCATTTCAAAATCGTCAATTTTAGAAGCCTAAATTGCGACATTGCTACGCATTATTAGTGACGTATATGTAATTAACATACATTCTTTCCATGCCTGCAATGTTTATGTGCAAGTTGACGTTAAATAATGACGTCATCTGATAAAGACGTCATTCAGCTATACTAAACGCCTAGATGTATGTGATATTTCTGGCTTTTTAAGGCGCAATAGTTGTACCTTTAAGCTAAATATATACTGTAAGTTTCTTTCATGTAGATGATTATTTTGGAATTTTTTTTGATATAATTTTTCTATGATTAAAAAGAACTCGGGAGTTAGTTGCACAAAAACCGGTATTTTTCCTACCTACCTAGAAGTTATTGTTTTTTCTTGATGAGCATGAAACTTTACTACGTCAGAACTGTTTTTTTATTTTATTGATTGTCCAATTCAAATCGTAGCTTTTTGGTTTATGAGATTTTTGCAAGGATAGCGAAAATATTTGTTTTTCAAGTCGACAGCCTTCATTCAGGTTTTGCGTGACATTGTCTCCGGAGCTCGAGAGATAAGAAAGAATTGTCTAGCTGATATTGGTATCTAAACTAGAAATTTAGTCGCACAGCTAGACAGGTGATTTTGAGGTTAAACGATGTTAGGGAAATGACCAATTTGCTTTCAATATTACTCATATCTCGGCTTTCGAAAATATATCTCAATATGTTCAGACATTTAAAATACGACGATGCCTTATTGCAGTATTTCATTTTCATGTTTTTGCATGTTTATGCATGTTGTTTTTTTGTTAAATTTTACTTTCCTGAGATAAAACATGACAAGTGACGTATGACCACCAAAATCATTTGTGTGAGCACTTTGTTAACTGCGGGTGGCCGTCTTTCAATTTGAAAAGAAAGGAACTTTCACTTAAAATTTGGTCGTTTTATTTACGTGTGGGCGCGCCAAAATCTTTATGTTAATTTAGGAAGTGAATTAATTTGCGGGGAGTGTTTTACTCGTCGCTAAGTGCGTTGTAAGTGCAAGTGTGTACGCCAAGTTAGGAAAGTCTTTAAATGTGCTTCTACATGCTCTAGCTTGGCAGAAAAAACGGAGTTCTTCGTATGTTCAAGATAAGGAGAAATATATTTCGTGAGCTTTCTCATAGACTGCAACATTAATGAACAAAAAGGTGTTATATCACGATACATAATTGTGACTTAACTATATTGGCCTGAATATTTATCCTTGGCGTTGTTTGACTCGACAATATATAATCTTGCGCTCTCGAACCACAAGGGACTTTCCTGGGTATTTGGATTGAGAACTTACAACTTGAAGGATTGCTTAACAAAGTGTGAGGAAATTTTCTGTGGATTTTTCTCTGTCATGCCTCGCTTTTGGGTAAGAATGGCGCATTTATACACTCTTACTTGATACGTTGTGTAAACGTTCGATGTATTTTCGTCTTATATGTTTGGTTGATGTGTGTTTGATGAAAGTGGCGGTTTTCAATCTTCTCTATAATTCATCTCTACAATAGCCGATTTTTAGGTTGAAAGAAAGTCATAAACAAAAGCAAATAAGCTACCTTTCTGTCGGTTACTCTTGCAAGCCAGTTACATTATTGTGATATAAATTTTCAAGTCAAGAAAGAGGAATTTCAAAGACGTTTGAATTTAGCACATTTGTATATACAACGTATGGTTTTCATAAGCAATATATTTTTACTTCGCAGATTGGCCAACGTTTCGTAAATCGAATTTTTTTCCCATCCAACCGTTTCGTGAGCATATAAAGAAGCGTGCCTCATAAATTGAAGCAATTGCGACTGTAAATTGTTCCTTTGTATATTTTTTTGAATCCTTTTTGTTTTTGTAAATAGTGTGATGTGATAAATGTAAAAAGGAATTTTCATACGGCATCGTCAATATGATGACATGAGTATGTTGTGCAATGTCGTATAAGATTGATATATTTCATTGTCTTCCTGTATTTTATGGGCCGTGTTTAACGATTTTTATTGTTCAAAATTTGTACTTCGTGTTTCCGTCTAAAAAAAGCGTCCTCTCCGTCTTATATGATGTTTTTACCTCTATCACAAACAGCGAAGACAACTACTCGTTAACCAATCGATCATATGATCTGTTAATATTATCGTTCAGTTGTAGTTCCATTGCTGTCTTTTGAGAGTACTCTGTCTTTTTCTATTAGCACGTGACTTTAATTTACTTTCCTGTAGTAACCCACCATCTCACAAACAACACGCACGCATTAATCACATGATTCGTGAACTTAACGATACATTTCAGTTTGTTAGTATGGTACTACCATAGTTTATTTATCAATGTCTTTTCTCACAAAACAGGGAGCACGCTTGGAAATTCTAACCCATCGAAAACGCAAGGAAGAACAGTCAAAGAGAGAAAATGATAAACAGGTATGTGGTATTCTCTCTCTTGCTTTCTCTCTATAATTTCGAGAGGTTGCCTTATATGGCAAGGATTTATGATTTGTCCTAAGTGCTACGAAATACTGTCCGTTATAGAAATGATGAATGTAAAGAGCGAATGTCTTATGCTCATCGCTATTATTAGATTGACACAATCTGAAAGTTCGTCCGTGTTAAAAGCCATTTACTAAACCTTCGCTATAAAACTCTACGTATGAAGCAAAAGGATTTGCTTACTCTTTAAGCTGTTCGGACCAAAAACAGCTGTCTGTTGCCATGTTTGTAGTATTACTGTACACTACACCTGCAAAGGATTGAATATTTCCACGAACAAAACAATAATAATGCAATCCAACGTTTCCATACAGTAACATAACTATTGTTGCCTGTATATTATGATACTCCAGAGTGAGGTCAATTATACTGAGGGTAGGGTGGGTGGCAGTTGAATAATGCATTTTTTCCCCACACTATGTAAGGCTTGTATATAATGATACTGAATAGTGACATGTACCGAGGGGAGGGTGGGTGGCGGTTGAATAGGGGATTTTGTTCCCTGTTCATGAAATTTGTCGGGGGGTGTGATCGCAATTTTTCGATTCTCGGATAGAGGATCTGATTAGTTAACATCTTAAAGTTTTGAGTTTCTTGTGAGAGGAGTTTTGACTTCTGTTTATGTCAATATTATTATCTTCCTTTTTATATTTAGTAGTGCAGCCAACCTACAAGTTTTTGTTCTGTTATGTATCATTATTCATTTCTTTAGAAATCTTTTGCAGTGAGTAAACATAGAAAAATATACTAAGCATGACTAAACTTGCAGGCTTGCTGCGCTACTGTTTATATTGATTGTTGCTTTTCTGTTTTTGCCACTTGACCATTGCCATAGTAATGTTATTGTAAACGATATTAATAAATACAACAAAACATACAGCGACGACGATGATTTGTTTACATTTTATGCAAATTGTGATATCCGATCACTTGATAGACACTATGTTAGAACATACAAAGACAAAAGTTTAAATCCTTTCACTCTTGACTAAGACGCTAGACTGGAGTATATTAGAACTACAGTTTCAACTTCAGATCACTCCTGATGAAGATACGAGGCTAGTTTTTTGTGACTTGTCATTATCATTCCTAAAAATAAAAAATGTTTCTCAAATTCCAGAATCGTCTGAAAAAGAAGAGGGAAAAGAAATCTTTGGGTTCGAGCGAAGAAACCAATGAAAACAAGGAAGCTAACTTAACTAGCAAACAAAAAGACGATTTCTTGAAGACAAAAGTCCTCACACCAACTGGATATCAGTCAAGTAGCTCGGAAAGTGACGTTCCGGTCTCGCCTATGCTCGCTTTATCTTACGATATGAAGAACAAAGTATTGTTTAAAAGCAACGAAAGATTACAACAATCTCCTCCGCCTATTCCTCCTAAACCGAGAGGAAAACCTAAGTTATCTACCCCGACCAATAGGAATGCAGGTATGTTCACGCCAACCAATAAGAATGAAGAACCGTCATCGGCGTCCATTAAGAATTCCACGTGGCCTGATCAACGAACGATTAACAATCAAGATATGCAAGAGATTACAAATGAGATTAAACAGCAAAATAACGTGAAGTTTGCGCAATTCCAGAAAAGCGCCACAGTTGATAACACGAATGGCGAGGGGAAGAAAGCACCTCGCGCTCCTAAGAAACCAATTGCATTGAAGAAAGCGAAGAGCGTCGACTTTACAGAAATTGAACTGTTCGAACCATCTGAAAAACACGGAAATACGTCGACTCAAAAAAGGAAAAACGCTGAAAAAACCAATGATAAAAAAGAGAGCAGTATATTTTTTAGCAACGGAATATATGAGGAAGCGAATATTGGTCGTTCAAATATACCAAAAAATTCTGAAAAAGATTTCCAGGTCCCAAGCCCTCGAACGAGCATCAAACCAAACTTCGAAGAAAGAAAAGCTAATACTTTATCATACAGAAAGCAATTCTCTTTGGGTTGCGAAAAAGAGGACAATGCATTTGACGAGGATCCTTTGTATAGCACAGTGAATTTCACCAGTTTAGGACATACAAATAATGTACATGTAGATACAGACAAGGATGTAGGTGGTGTGTACTCGCCCACTTCCTATAGTTCACCTAAATCTGCACCATCTGTTGATGCTACTTCTATTATTAAAATCTCTCCGGAACTAGGGATAAAGGAGATCATGAGCATTGTGAAAGAAGGATCATCGTATGCAGTTGGGGACAATAATGATGTGTACAGGATTCCGGTTAAGTCAACCAGTTCAAGTGAATCGATTGTTGCTCCTACAGTACTCGAAACCCCTCCGTCCACAGATATGTTCTCCCTATCATCCGGGTTTCCACTGAAGAAAAACTGGAAAATCACCGTACCGGAAGAAATATACTCTGAACCAGAACCTCGTAGAATCCCAAACTCCGATTCAGAAAAAAGTGATTCGGACGCCGCCATTGAAGGACCTTACGCATCCACGACATTATTTAGGATGACAAAAACGCCAAAATCGTCTGGCGATGTTTCAAGAACATTTTCTCCAAAGGCATCACCGACCTTTGATGCGTCACCTCCCAATTTTAAACCTCCGCCACCACCTGTAGGTGGATCACCCCTCCTGAAAAAATACAACAAAAACCGGCTTAGTCCCCCTCTGCCAGTTCGACATCCTATTGGTTCCAAATCTCCGAAAGTTATCCAGCTAAAACACGCTGAGATTTCAAACGATCAAATAATGCGAAGCAAAAGTGTACCTGATTTGGCAAACGAAGCCATATTTGCGTCACCATCTAGTCTTGGTATCAACGTTGAAAACAACAATAATGATCGATACTCCATGTTAGTAACTCCTGAAGAGTTTGGACAGTTAAGTGAATGTTTTGTGCAATCGGATATTACGAATAATACGAACAATCTGCTTCGGGATAACGATGATCCCACTATCGGAAACGGTCGTAAACCAGTCACAAACGATAGCTGTAACATTACTACATCAGCTTCTAAAATCGGCAAAAAAGCACCTCTTCCCTCGCCCTCCAAATTTGTTAACAATGGTCTCCCTCTTAAGGTGCCACCTCATCCGAAATATCCTCCACCTAGGCTATTTTCCTCCGAAAGAAGCCCATCCCCTACCCCCAGTGACAATACCGAATGGCGAGAAACGGTAGCAAGTCTTCCACCTCCACCTCAGGAATTCTTTGAAACGTAGCAGTTAGCCTAAAGTGGCGTAGAGAACAAGTAGTACTTCAAGGCAAAGTGTCGACTTGTCAAAAACGTTTACATGTTGTCGATCATCGCATAGTGTTTAGTTGTGATTAATTGTTTAGTTAAATTAAATTAATTCAAATCTTATAGTAACAACCTGTCTTTATAGAAAATTATTTAATTATATAGTGTATTAAACTTATTAAAATTGTTTCACCGTCTTTCGCAGAAAGAACCACTGGATTTATATATTAAGATTATGTTTCGATCAACATAGGCCTGCAGAACGCGGAAGGGGGTATTAAGATTATATTTCGATCAACATAAGCCTACAGAACGCGAAAGAGGGGGACAGAGAAGGCAGCTGCCTTCCAAGAAGGTTTGAACATGGAGAATTTAGGCAAATTCTTAACATTAGTCGAACGAAAACACGGCAGAACTTTCATTGTGAACAGAAAAATTCTTTCTCCCACTTCTAAATGATAGCTCCCATAAGCCAATGTCCATCAACGGCATTAGGAATGCTGATTTGGATACAATGGTTGGTACCTTCAATTGGGCGATTACACTCTTCCCCCTCAATAGTATTTTTAAGACTATGGTCCTTTTTTAGTAAAATAAGTAATATTTGGTATACTGTCGGAAGCGCTTCAGCATACATATATCTAGAGCGGAGATGGGGTCTGTAAATTTCAAAAAACAATGTTTAGAGCAGATTCTATCAAGAGATCTTTGTTATCCAGGAGGAGTACGAAACACACGCACCCCTCCCTTAAGAAAGTTTGAAGATTGAAAATTTGTGAAATGTTTGCGAAAGGTACGGCGAAAGAAATGTTGACAAGTATTGAAAGTCAAGTAGTCCAGTATTAGATTCTCAGTCAAGAGAAATATTTACTGACCCCCTCCTACCCCCAACAATGATATGTCCACACAAATCAGAGTCGGACGTTTTTTTCTAATACTGCATTGTGAAATCTTCGTGAATTTAACTTAGTGAATGGCAGGTAATTTGTGAATTGTGCGGGTACCCTGTATTATTATATATTATTATATTATATGTCAAAACGCGTAATTTTACTGTCAAATGTAAACAACTTCGTAAAGCAAACAGCAAAACGCAAAATAAACGAAAGAAAAAACCATTTACGAATGTTATTGGAAGAAAAAACACTTGGAAAACAGTTCAACTTTTCAGACGACACAATTTGAAACAATTTACTTTTTACTGACGAAAATTAGAAAAGTGAAAGCCAACCCGCACAAAACAGCAAAAAGCAAGCTTCGTTTCAAGTCAAATAATGCCATATAATAAACCTTTTAATAACCTCGCTTTCTCGGTCTTGATGGAGAAATATCGGCCCTTTGTCTTTTTGTACAAACCTCGCCCTACGAGCTCGATCTGTACAAAAACTTCGGTCCTTTATTTCTCCGTAAAGACCTTACGCTTGGTCATCAAAGGCTTAGTAATAGTATTGTTTCTCTTGCAATTACAGCTAAATATGCACTAGTGAGTTTTTTAAAAGTCTTTAAAAACCTCACTCGAGTATGTTTATCCGTAATTGCCTGAGAAACTGTACTATTATCTATACAAAATTTAAATTTACTGATTTTTGCAATTAGTGAGTACAGAAATATATGCATAGCAGTGTGTATACAACTAGCAAAATGTTCATCAAAATTATTTATCATTTCTTAAGAAAATTAACTCCGTTCTTTGTCCGTTTTCCAGTGAATGAACACACCAATATTTGCGTTTGAGAGTAAAATTTATATATAAGCGCTGTGGTTCTTTTCCTTCTGTTTCAGTGAAGATAATTTCAGCGTTAAAAGTGCTATGTCTACATTGCACGTATCTTGCTGCAAGTCTTGTTTCACTACTTTATTATATTCTACTCGAGCTATAATAGGAACTAAAGTCTTTAATAGGAACAGTAAACCTAAATTTGGACAATTATTATCTATACTGTCGGGAAAATCGAAAATCCTGCTCAAAATCCAACTTTTTACTTCCCTCGGGAGACTGGCAAAAGAATTCGCAAGCAGTAGTAAAGCGCATGCGCGATGTGCTTTTATAATATTTAAGTTTCACAGCGTTATATTTTCCTTAGAAGCGCGGTAAAGAGATTTTGCCCAATTGATTTTGCCTTTCTCCTGAAAGTTAAAACGAGCTTTCGTTGAATTTTTTTGTATTTCGCTTGTTTTGGAACAAGTCAGCCTTAAGGGCAAAGATTTTAGCGTAGGAATTCGTATTTGGCAGACCTAGCTACAAAGGTGATGAAACAAATAAACGTGCCGAGTTGTTGTTCTCGTTCAATTGCTGTGAAATTGGCGAACATTAAAGGTATTTCTGTTTGCAATATAATGTCGTCTGTGGACCTAATAGCTTAAGAAAAAGCCGCGGTTTATCTTCTTTTTTATCAGAATGAACGACTGTCTGTCTACTTTCTTTCTATGGTAAATATTTGAAGAATTTGATCAGTAAATTTTTTACCTTGACTTTTTATGATCAGAATCTGATGTTGATCATTCCACACATCAGCCGAAAGCTTTATGCTCGTAAGGAATGCACATAAAGCCTCTAACAATCTCTTGAATATTTTTAATAACACAAAGCGTATATTTTTGTCTACTTTCATGTGTTCCTAAATTTATCAATGTTAACAATTCATTTGTATACTTAGTTGTGTATGTATTATAAAGAGCCGTGTATGATTTTATAAACAAACACTCTTTATAATTAAGTCTAAAGCTCAAGTGTTTCGGGATGACAAGTGTATTTACAAAACAACTTAGACAGAGATTATGTTTAATTACAATCTGCAATGTGCCGACTATCTCCGTTGTCAGGCCACCTTGAGCTACTTTGAGCAGTTTTTCTTTAAGCAACGACAAAGTTAGTAACCATTTAAACAACCGCCATTGTTCTTAAGTAAATATTGTATTGGGCTATTTTTGTAGCTATTTATGTACAATTAATTCAATTCGCATGAAAATGCTCAACGAGACGTATAAAAGAATGTTTTTAGCATCCCTTGACTCTTGTGCACTTTCTAGTCATTTTTACAATGGCAATATATTACAGTTTCTTTCGAAAGTCACGTCGTCTAGAACTCTTAAGTCACTGTATTCATATTAAAATTTTGGCGACCTCTCCAATTTATCTGTAATTTATAGCAAATAGGCGATAGCCATTTTGATAAACTAAGTAAGTAAGTTAACAACAAAACAAAATAGAGCTGCTTCTTCTGATCACATCAAACGGAAACTTGCTCGAATGCTGGTGAAATGTGCGCTTTTGTTACATATGCTTACACTGTTAGTTTTGTCGGCTATGTTTGAGCTGTTTTGTAATGTTGCCACAAAAATGCGATCTCGACGCAGATTCTTGTACTGTAAAAGTTCATTTTCACTGTTATTACCCATTTTTGGACTGTTGTTTTTGATATTTATGTTACAAATTTTTATTATGTAAAGGAAATGTGAATTTTTGTGAGAGATTTTTGCACAACCATTTGCTTTTAAGTGCTCTAAAATCGACCAATCAGAGTTGAATATCTTAACCTGCTTTGTCTTGCGATGATTTTTGTATTCAACACACATAAAACCGACAAAAGCACTTTGTGAGAATATTAAGTTTAGCTTCAGTAATTCAAATCAAGTTATAAACCAACTTTGGCCGGAATATCTAAATATTCTTTCCTCGGTGCGGATTCAGAAATAGGCTTAAGGCTTGGTAATAATCCTCTCAGTCTTTTCGTATAAATACCTTGTTATTCGCTGACTTGTTTCTTTATTTTGTGATCGACAAAACGCTTGCAAATAATTTTCTTTCTTTTATTCTCTTCACACATAAAGAGTTTAATTCAAGTCAGGCTGCCCGTGTTATTTTTAGCGGTATTTTGCATCAATTACAAAATGAGCGTTAAATTTTATTTTATTCCTATGTCAACATGGCTTCCTTTCTGTTTCGTCCATTTTTGATGAGTTGTTTGCACAATAAATAATAAAAGACAATTGAATTACCACGCTTAGTCCACATTGATCGAGTCGTATCCTGTTTTGCCTCATCTTAAGTATAGCGAAGCCCGTTTTAAAATTGCATTACTATTCATAAAATCCTGCTGTTTTTGGCAGTGATTTGAGATGTACATTTGCTAGCTTTATTATAACTTTTAGGACGTCCGCCTTTTCAGCCGCGTCGGCGTCTTTCCGAACTAGATCAACTTAGGATTTGCAATTTTGCGGAAATACGACAGAACTCACCGGTGAAATTGAAAGAAAAGCGTTTCGAAAATGGAAACGAAGGTAGATACTATAGATCACTTTCAACATAAGTTCATTTTTTTCATTACCGGATGTGATTCTTGTGTACTAAATTTTAAATAAACCTTATGCCACACACACTGACTCTCACAAATGCATAGATACAGCGGTTCATTAAAAAGAAAACTCGCTAATTACTTCATCACATTTTATTGCTACGAAAAATTGTTGGCTGCCTGGCGAAGATCACATTTGCGGCTTATCACATGAAGAATTATACACCCACGAAAATTTAACAACTTTTCTTCAACTCTAATATTAGCTTGTTTTTATACCACACGCCGAAGTTAACCGCAATGAGGCGAGCCTAAAATTAGAGTTTCTCCGTTGTTCGTGCCAAGAACAACGCGTTGCGGCCAACGCGTAGCATTCAATTTGCAATTAATGGATGGTTTTTGAAACAAGTTTTTCTTATTGTTACAAACAGAGAGTTTATCGTGGAGGCAATTTTAAATAGTGCCTCGAAACGCAAGTTTGCTATGGTGAATAACAGATATAATCTAGGCAGTTAACAGATGTATAGAGTTTAAACAAATCCAATGCTACTATGCATTTCGGCAGTCAAGTGTCATAATCTGGTAATTGTGAATTTTCAAAACTATCTGTGATATTACTGTCTTAATAACCTTTCACAGTCGATAATTTAAAGAAATATAGCAGAAAGCATGCTACAAACAGCTTTTTGTATTGACAAGTACATGAAGAAAGTCGAAATATTGCATTGAAAACCTTGTCTCTTGTTAACAAAATGCGAGACTTGAGTTTACAAGATAATGCTATTTGCAGTATGTGTTCTAAGTACAGCTGTCAGTATTTTTATATTTTGTCAGAATTTCTGCTTTGATCAAATAAAATTTTACTCAATGTGTTCATGTCATATTAACATTGTTCCCAAAAAGCCAATGCATCTACTTTGAAGTTCTTTTTTAATAAAGCCCTGTTTTTCAATTTGCCTCCATCGCCGAACTTTTGTCATTTCACCGAATTTCCCATGATACCTTCCGCATTTTATTGACATTTTGTGCAAAAACGGTTTGGCACAAAACCAAGGCAAAACATCATGTTATGATGAAGAAATTTGACCTTTTATTGTGAGAGGTAAAAAAGGATTAAAATGGATACAAATGGATTACATCAATTGCAAAGCAAAGCCGCTTTGCAAATATGTTATTTCCCTTTATCGTGGAAAAAAAACATAAAATTAATTTTCATAGACATGAATGATAATTCTACTAGATGATTTGTAGCCATTGCAGGCATAGGTGCACTAGCTCCATTTTTTTAAAGAGGGTTGATTTCACAAGTGAAAAATTTGGCTATCTTTGCCAATGTGCTACGTAATAATACCGAGGACAAGTTGGTGCCTTGAATCGTTGCAAAATTAATTCAATTGCATTAGAAAAAAAGTAAGCCTGTGAGGTTTAAGACGTAAAATCTTTGTTCGTGATAATAAAGCTTTTCCAGATGCTTTATTTGGGAAATTAAAAACTGTCATGGTTCTTATTACTTTTCCTTGTTAAACCTTCCATTGAAGATTTGAAAGTCTGTTCAAGCTTTTTCAAATTGTTTTTATAATACTTCCATTGAAGTTTTGAAAGTCTGTTCAAGTGTTTCCAGTTTGTATTGATAATACTTCCATAGAAGTTATAAAATCTGTTCAAGTGCTTCCATTTTTTCCTGACAGTGCTTTCAATAAAATTACTTCGATAATGCAGTACACAACTGAACAGTGGTATTTTCACATTTTTGTGCAACTTATTCAAATGGTGTTCCTTTTCTTTGTAAGTCTTCGTAGGTTCATGAAGAGTAGATTGAAATGATTGCTTGTATATTTTTGTCCTGTAGTCAGTATAAGTGTACAACTTTATAATCTGTTTACTTCCGTTCAATTTGTTCATTTATTTCTTGTGCTTCATTAATGTGGGTTATGGAGCGTTAACGATTGCGTCACAGCACGTGTCATCCTCGAGTGTATTTAGAACGTGAGAAGCAGAGATTGATTTTACTCCTGGATACTATTATCATCAGGAGAGTTCAGATGCTGTGAAATAAGCTTTCATATAATAGTCCTTCAGTCGTATTTCAGAAGTGATTCCACATTGTACTTCAGTCTAGTGTCTTCATCAGGAGTGGTTTGATGTTGAAACTTTAGTCCTTATATACTTCAGTGTATTGTCTTCATCAGGAGTGGTCTGATGTTGAAACTTAAGTCCTTATATACTTCAGTGTATTGTCTTCATCAGGAGTGATCTAATGTTGAAACTTTAGTTCTTATATACTACAGTCTAGTTTCTTCATCAGAAGTGATCTAACGTTGAAACTTGACGTTGTGATATACTTTAGTCTAGTGTCGTCGAAATAAAATACCGAGTCCTTGGCCTTTATAAACTATTTGGCAAAAGCACCGAAATAAAAACGCCCCGAAAAAACTTCTCACGTCAATAAGAACATTTGTGTCGTAAAATCGTTTCCCACTTTTTATTCGATGACATCTTCTCAAATTGCCTTGTGGCAAACGTTACGCGCGTTGACACTACATTCCAATGCCTCTCAAGGTTGTTTGCGCGCGTGACGTGGAGACCTTTTAACAAACACTTGCGTTATACAGATTTTTGTAATGTCAACACTTTCGGCAACGAGACGGGATTATCCTTAATTACAAGTCGTAATGGGAACTTAATTGAGATGTTGAGATGGTTGGAGCCCGGGTGGCTGACTTCCAAATGATTGATGGCAGAAGATTGTGTTTATGTATTTTTCATTCTTGGATTACATGAAGATCTTATGTAACAAGGATTTGTATTTTATCATAGTACGCAATGAAATACGGCCAATTTGCATAAACACGAAGTTCAGAGTTTTCCCGCGTCAAATATCATATTGTTGCAATTTAGAACACAAATTTATTTCGTCTTATTCAAGTAAACACGCTCTAACTCATGAAGACAATACAACTGTCTCACTCAGACCTCAATAAAATCGTGGCTTATTCATTTGTTTGTGTTAAAGTCAGCACAACCATAAACATCAAAGTTCTCATTGTGGCAAATACAGTGTTTGAATATGGTAAAGGAATATTGCTATGAACGTCCTTATTTACCAGACTATTTTTGCTTTTACGTTAATGAAATTATGACCGGCCTTCATGCAATGCCTAAATGTGGGTTTGCTATTTGTTCAAGACTTTGTTTTGTTTTCAAAGCAAAGTCCTATTGTGATGTTGAGTTCCTGAATTGACGAGCTTATTTTGGGCAAATCAATGCGATTTTTCACAACATGTCGTCAGCAGTACACAATGCGTGTTTCGTGATGGAACACCATGGTTCACACGCTAGCAAAACCCGTCGCCAGACTTACTGGCACAAACTGACTGTGACTGTTTACATCACTTCACGTCAAGTGTCATGGAGAGGCTTTGCTTCAATTGTCGCAGTTATAGGTGCGCTGCAAGATAACTGCATCGTGCTGTTTATCTCAAGCAGGGCCAGCATGCTATGAAATGTAACTATTGATTTTCTAGTGAGCAGCTTTCTGTTTGTGTTGTTTTTAATAATAATTGATGTTGTTGGTCGATTTTCGCACCGTTTGAATGGTGTGCGCGCAAAATCGTTGCGATATGGGTGGTTTCTATTTGGAGTCATTCGAGATAATAACAAACATTCAATTTATTAATTTTTTTACCAGCACAGGCGGTACAATAAAATCTACTTTATGAGATCTTTTACTTTCATTTGTTAGGGAAAAAAAGGCAAAGTAAGTACAAGACGATGATTTCATGAGATAATCTCTTCCATGAGATAATCCCTTCCATTACATGATCTTTTCCATTTAATAATCCCCTCCATTATATGGTTCCACCCACTAGAGTCAATTCCTCCCATTCGATGGTTCCTCGAAAAAAATAGTTCTTCCCAATTAATAAATTCTCTGATTATGTTGTCCCTCCCACAATCAAAAAGTCTCGCTCGTTCGACGTTTTTGTCACTGGCTGATTCTCTAATCAGATCCTCATTCCTATTGGATGATGTCTTTCAATATTTTTGAATAAATTTTTTAAAAATCTAGGTCTCCCTTATCGGTTTAATTCCCAGATATGAGGCTTCAACCCGCTGCAACGCTTGACAGGCATTGGTGATGGTGTAGTAAACGGATTTCCTAAGAAAAAAATATTACTATTTCTTCTCTTCGTCACTTAAATTTTAACCTCGGAGAAGCGCCAGGAGGAAATCGTGCGAAAAACATCCAAATTGATTTACCTCAAACTGTCCTTTGGGCTTTCAAAATCATCGCTCGATGTTGAATGATTAATGCGGAAAAAGTGCGATGGAGGTTTGTCCTGTTGGTAATATATTTCGACGCAAATTTAACAGATTACAAAGAAAGTTAAACCACACTGCCCCCCTGCTGTGAGGGTGTTGCGTGTCCGCAACCCTCCAAGATTCCTCCTATCGTTTCCTGTGCTAGGAATTTCAACGTCTAATCTTATCTATACTTTTAAGTATTCAGACAGTTAAGATGACGTTGCTCGAGATTACGACGAGCCTCGTCGTGATTGGCTGAAAATCAACGACGCTATTTGTTTAGACATCGCTGAAATCCTTCCATGTTTTTTCAAGAGATCAGCAATTTTATAGGTCAAAAGGTGCCATACTTACCCGATGAAGCCATATAGCGCGTATGTATATAAGATTAAACCGGAAAGATTCAAACTGGTAACAAATTTTTCTATTTATTTATACGATGCGAACAAATTATGCAGCCCAGCGTGTCTCGTCCCCGCGTCTGCTACATAAGTAGATGGCTTATCGATCGCTGCTCATTTCGATTGTGACAAGTCGTCGACGAGCATCACTTGTCGTCACTGAGAAACATTGGTACGCTTTCCGCCTACACATCTCGTTAAAAGTGTCGCAATGTCTTCGCTACAGTATGGCATACGTTGCTTTGCGACGTGTTGCATTGTGTTCACTCTTTCCAAGATCATTGACGCCCAAATGTTGAAGTCGAAACCGTGGAAAATACCGCTCAAGTCAGTGAAACATTTCATAGTTCGTAAGACACCGGATGAATTGTTCCCACAGCCCTTGCATCTGAAGCCCGAGCTACCGAATGCTAAGGATTTCAATCTACGAAAGCTTCGAAAACTCATCCAGAAATTTGAACCACGATTTATGTCGATTTCAAGACCGAAGTCAAACAGGACGCGAACTCCTTCTCTTTCCAGACGAAAAATCTTCGCCGTGATGCCGAATGATTTGAAGAATCTTCAGTTTACCGTTCCAGGTTCTGATCGCGAGCTTGGGGAACGTGCAAGCAAGAAACTCCGGCTTTGGCTGTGGAATAGGACAAGGTGCACAGTTTTGCCATTATGGAAGGATTTCGGACCGCGTGTTTGGCCTCGTTACGTGAATTTGGGTCAATGCGACAGAAAAAAGACTTGCTCCTACCCCGAAGGTATGTCATGCAAACCATCGAAATACAAAAGGATCCATACGCTTTACTGGGTGTGCAGTAAGACGAATATTCTCAGGGGAAAGTCAAGATGTATATGGGTACGCTTTCCGTCAGACGTCATAGTGAAGTGTCAATGTTCGTGTTAAATGGATAACACTAAGCTCAAACTGGCCAAAACACGCCACACGCAGGGGCCTCTGAGTTACACGATACGACAAAAATTGATACCTTTACGAACTGTATTTGGCATTCGATTTCTAATTAGAATACTGTCGGGAATTCGAATCAAGCATTTGTGACATTCGATTGACGATTAAGAGAACGAAAACGTTCGTGAATTGATATTAGAACAATTTGTCATCGGAATACAGTTTGCATTCGATTATATCGACATTGCTCTCCGTAGGAGATTCTGCGTGAGTGGAATTGTAAAGACAATTTGCGTATTTTTCATATTTACGGACGAAAATGCACGCATGTTTGACTTTACATGACAAATATAGATTGTATCATATTATTTTCCTAAGGGTATATACGACAGAAATAGAACATTATTTAAATTGTTGTAAAGTTTTCTACAGTGATAATTTCACGCTTAACAAAATCTTTTCTATATAACAAAAGACGAAATACAATAGCAACAGGATGATTGTGATCTTTTTAAGCATAGAATAAATACCGTTAGCATGTGTTGTAACACATCGCCCGACCGCCGTATTTTCTAGAGCTGTTTTGAAACCCCCGATTTAGAAATCGATTTCACATTTAAGCGCGCTGAGAAAGGTCACGCACATTGAAAAGGTCATTTTGCCAGCTTTATTTTTTATAGTTTAACTTATAAATCACAACTTCTTTTGTTATTTATTGATTTGCCCGCGATCACAAAGCAACAAAAATTGCAACTTCTGGAAGTTTCTCAACACTGTGATGCTTCAATGATATCCCAGCCATAGTTGGACCACTTCGTGATCGACGAATAATCGCCATTTGCTGTAAATTATATGCTGAAAGCTGTACCCATTTATGGCCCATTCATTTGTTAAACAAACAGTATATTTGCCCACCTATGGTTGTATCATGGCCACAGGAAAATGAGCAATTCGCACTTTATTTACACGCTGTCACAATTTTGTAAATGAAATCTATCCAAAGAACTGTACAATATAATGGCTCACGTATACATTCAGTTCATTTCTCGCAATTAATTCTTGAATCCAACCAAATTTTGCTCGTCTAACAGAGTTTGCTCAGCCTTTCGTGTTGTCGCAATTAAAAATCCTCCTTGAGCTTAAAATGCTGTGAAAACCCACTTGCTCCTATAGCAAATTGATATAGCGTAAAAATTGCTTTAAATGTACCACATAATCATTTTACAGCTTTAACTTTCACAAGCAACCCATGTAAAAGAAGTTGTGTTGAAAGAGAAAAAGAACAGAAGATTTTATACTTTGGTCAACTGTTAACGTAGCGTTAAACATTGAATTCCAATCACAGGTTTTGTATTAAATGAAATCCCGCTGCATTGACACTAAACGATCACTAAACGATTGTAAACGCTTTTTACTTAAAATGTTTCTGTTCCTGCATGATCACCTTTTGCTGTTTAGTCTCAGAAACCAACGTTGCTTTTTATGGTCAAAGGAGATAAATAGCTGAAAAAAAGTCTTGTTTTTGGTTGCCGAAAGTTTCTCAATTCTCCATGGTTATGCATAAGATATTTTTGTCCTTTATTTTCCAATAGCCATACCTATATACCTCTCTCTTTTCTTGTCAGTAAATTACTAACAAACACATGTATCTAAAATGTTCTGCAAAATGCTCATACTACCTAAATTGAGGTCAATTTAAAAGCACAAACTCTATTAGTTGCAATCAACATTGCGTGCTTAAATGTAAAATCCTCTCCAACAATGTTTATTTTACATACACATCCGGTGGCAATACTTTAATGAGCCGCACAGGTCTTTCGAAAACATTCCTAAGTACGGTAAACGCTATTTCGATCTACCTTTCAATGTTTATTCAATTCAACAGTCATGACTCTAAAAGGTTTCGCATGGAAATGTTGAGGTAATTGCATTGTTGTCCATTTATCCATGCGTGGAATTTATCTTGAACGTATTAGCACAACGGTGATAGTAAACGGCAGACATTGGAGTTGATGTTTGTTTTTGCGAGCGTCGTTTAAATCCCTTCCGCTTTTTGATAAATATATTAAACACTTTCAACACACATTGAGGATGTGTTGAACCTTTGTGCAAACAGTTTAATCTATTACAAATGATTAAAGAGGCAAGTCGTATGTCTAGCCAATGTGAATAGAAATATGAAAATAGTAAATTACCAAAGGAGTATGCTAATTTCATCCATGTTTGAGGAGGGTATTTCTTTTAACTCCTGCCACGAAATTTAGTGATATGCATCTAGGGATGCATCAGAGAACTAGCTGTTCCTTTTTGAAAACATCCGACTTCCAGAATTTCCTTTATTGGGCAGGAGGGAGGATATGTAAGCGCAAGTGAAAACAATAATTCATAAGAACTGCAGCTACTGCCATTTGTATGTTGCAAATCCTTAGCAAGAAACTCGGCTCCGAATCGTGCAAATTGCTAATGTCCGATGACTGCAAAAACAAGCAGTTTTTCTTAATACACCCAGTGTTCATGAATACTTTTATGAAGTATCATCTGTGTAATGTAAAAAATATCCCCAATGTATCCATATACGTACATCTATAAGGTATTTTCTTTTATAACATTTATTCATGATTTCCCGTCTGTTCTATAGGTGGTCATTCGTCATTCTATATGTACTTAAGCCATGCATGCTACCTTATGTTTCTCTTTGGTGTGCTCAAATTCTCTTTTCGTTGTTCTACGCTACCAAGGTTATGTAATTTTCCTGTTCCGATGTGTCATTCTTTTCCTCTAAGACACGTAGTATATTTTCCAAGCTCAATTTTCCCAAATGTTCTTCAATAAGCTGCTTAGCATATTTTTCATATTTAAGGATTCTGTCTGTTACTCGTGCACTAATCTATCGTCTGTATGCCTCATATGTGTCGATATAATTAAGTAGCTTTGCCGCCTTAGCTTTTTCCCATAACGATTTTCATACAGACATTTAGCAGGGCGTTAATTTTTATGTTTGTTAATTACAATATATTATATATAATACACTGTTTGGCCTGCCTTATTAACTCTTTCCATGAAAAAACGGTTCATATGTGATAAATGCCTGTAGGAAAGTGTCAAGATGTGCCGCCTCGTGGTCTCTTGTATAGCTAATACCCTACACCATCTTATCCAAGGTATTGGGTTGCTCAACTTTTTAATTTGTCAAAACAAGAATAATGTCGTCGCAAATAAGGCCATGTACTTGAAGCTGTTGACATATGTGAATTCTTTCTTTTCAACCAAATATCCTACCATGTCTTTTATAACTCTCTCCAATTACACCCACCATGTTTTTAAAACTGTCTTCAGGCCTCCTACTACACCCACCATGTTTTTAAAACTGTTTTCAGGCCTCCTACTACACCCACCATGTTTTTACAACTGTCTCCAGGCCTCCTACTACACCCACCATGTTTTTTTACAATTGACTCCAGGCCTCTCACTGACCCCACCGTGTTTTAAACAACTGTCTCCAGGCCTCCTACTACATCCATCATGTATTTTTACAACATTTATCATGAATCTTACCGCAGTCTACATACCCATAATCTTAATGAAAGTTTGCACAGGCATCGAGACACACTCATGTGAAAATAAATTACCCAATTTGTATCAATAAAGAGTTTTTAATAGCAGCCGCTTCACCGTTTCCATATTGGAAATTTTGATTTAAAGCTACTCTTTAATGATTTTAAACATACTTTCTAACTCACTACAAGAATGAAGCTACATTAAAATTGAAGTGCAAAGATAGAAACTGTGGGCTAAAAATGCAGGATGCCGGTGAAATGAATCAGTTGTCAATGAGCAATTATTGTGAAGCTAATTATATTGAGTAGAGATGAATCAACAGCGTTTTGTGATGTTTGTTTTTTGTGAAAGCTTCTTTTGTCGATATTTTTTAACCGCGTGATCTGCCGATAGCATGAGGTGACGACAGATTTGTTCACAAGTTAGATTATTTTAACCGTCATTGCCAGCCTAAGATCTTATTTGTTTAAACAATATATATACCAGATCTTTAATGAAGTTGGTCCATTTTCACTGCTTTTAAAGCCTTTTAAAGATTTTAAAGCGCGAAGACACGAAAGATTGTCCAAAATATCGTCATAAAAGAAAAAACTGCTTGCAATGATGTCTTGTTAGAGCTGAAAGAAGATATCGTGAGAAGTAAGCGTGCGGTATGCCGTTTGACGGGACATAAAACTATAAATATGCGTGATGATTTGTCATTATCGAACCAAAATACTTAAAAGTTAAAGGATCAAGGAAAAGCAAACAGATTTAAATACCTGTCATTCGTGACATTACACTTGCAACATTCGTAACATTAATAACACTTTGAACATTTGTAAAACGATAGCACTCTTTACAATTTTAACATCAATAGCACTCTCGTAGCTATTGATTATATTTCAATAACTAACTTCAATGTATACACTTAGTATTGAGTAACTTATCCAGTGTAGTATCCAAAACACTCGTACTTACTGTATAACAATACCTAAGATCTTACTTACAAAATCGTTTTAAAAATTATGTTGGATAAAAATAAATCTGGGTAGCAAGGTTTTTGTGTCATATGCTCTTTAAGGTTCTTTTAATGATTAACTAAGCGTTGATACAATATTGAGATGAACACGTTAGAGTTGATCGGAGACGTAACTAAAACGTTAATTGGGGGTGTATATCCATGTAATCACTTGTGTCCTTCTGATTTCCTTGGAAATTCAAATCACTTTCAAAAGAAATCAGTAGGGCACAGCGGAATATATGAATATGCACCCCAATTAACGTTCTAGTTACGCCTCTGAAGTTGATACAAGCGTTCACCGATATAGAGACGTTTTTTCTCACAGTTGTCTCAAAAGCGATGTGTGTGTAGGGGAGGAGGAAGGAGACAACACTTATAGTAAAATTGATGAAATCTGTTATTGAGAAACGTGAAAAATTACTCAATTTCTGGTCAATGAAAGTTACAATCATTAGGGAAATTTAGCAAACACGACGTCATTTGTCACGTGTCTTCTGAAACGGATAACGCTGGGATAACGCACTCCGCTCTTTCTGTGAAACCAGAGCAGCCATATTGGAAGGTCCCACTTTATACGAAAAAATAATCATAATATTAATCAAAATCATATTTCCACAAAATCTGCTATGTTTATACATGCCTTTAATTTCCAAAATAACAGAACAGAAATACGTCGTGATTAATTTCTCTTTCGTATATTAAAGTTTGTTTTCACTCCTCGAGAGGGATCGGCTGATAACAACAATAGGGGCACTCAATTACTTTGGGTTGAACTTTTGATTAGGCGTTATATTGCAATGCGGTATCTAGTTTAGTATTCATATCTATGCGCAAAAGTGGCGCTAATATTGATGAATGTGCGCCACGTGACGTCATAATCGCTAAATTTTCTGCTGATAACTTGAGTGTGAGCATGTTTCATACATTTTATAACAG